GCATGGGAACTAACATGGATGAGCGTTCCTGGCTACTGCCAGTGCCCTGGTGCAGGAGGACTTGTGCCTTCTGCTGGCACCCGTGCAGCCGTTGTGGGCTGTATGTGGCTTGTACCTGGGATTAGCTCTCAGCACCCGCGGGCTCCTGCAGGTTCTTTAGTGGTTAGAATGTATCTTAGGGACAGCTTTGGAATCTGTCTCAGGTGCAGGACCTGAGGGCCCTGGAGGCCTCTGCCTTGACTGCTCTTTCCCCCAGCACAAGCCACCCTTTCCGTTTCTTTGCGTGCCTCTTCATTTTCTGCTGCTGGAAGTGGACTCTCTTCCAGCTCCCCTCCCTGCCCCCCAGCCCTGGTCCTGGAAGCTGCTCCTGCTGTGAGTGTTCAGTGTGTTGCCTGGACTGAATCCGTAACATCGTCCTTCCCAGAGCTCGCAGCCGGTGGTGTTTCTGCTTAGCTTTTGTGTCTGACTCCCTTTTTGCTGGTGGTGGTGGTGGTCGTTTTGCAGGAGTCTAGGTTTGTGTCTTAGCGCAGCCCCGTGTCTGTACAGGTTGGAGCTGAGCCGGAGATCACTCACAAGTTGTGTTCACATAAGCCTCCAGCCAGGAAGCCTGCCACTTCACCTGGTGGGTCTTTGTGCTTTGGGGAGTGCGCTCAGAATTCGGTCTTTTTAGCTTGCCCCACTGTGTGCTTTGCACCAGGCACTTGCACTTACTTGCTTTCCAAACATACACACGGATTCCTTCAGCCAGGGGGGTGTGGGTGGCTCAGCCCAGCTCCAGCCCCTGGGGCACCCCCACGGCTGCTGGTCACCCGGGTGCCCGGAGCTCTCTCAAGCCTTCTTGTCACTGCCTCGCAGGGGAACACCTTATTCCCCAGCAGCCTACCTGCATCTCTGGCCCTTCCTGTCCCCCACACCCTCCCCGGGTTGCCACTGTCCCTGATGACACTGTATCACGCGCCCCAACATCCCGGAGCCATTGGATTCAGAGCCTGTGCTAGCCTGGCTCAGCAGTGCCATGGAGTCTGTTACCCCGGATACACGACAGTGTTCCTGAATAGGTGCCTTCGGTCAGTTTCCAGTCTTTGATGGTCTGTCCACCTCCTCAAACCTCCACGCCCAAAGTCCCAAGTGCTGCGCCTTGCCATTGACTGTACCTGACATTACTGTAACCTAATGTCTGCTTGATCTCCTGTGGTCTCACAGGTCTCTCCTTACCTGTTCAGCCTGGACATGGGGCTGCTGGGACAGGGTGCTGGGACAGGGTGCTGGGGCAGGGTGCTGGGACAGGGTGGGCTTCTCCTGGGCTGATCTGGCCGGATTTACACTTTGCCCCGGATAGCTAGAACAGCACGTTGTCCTTGGAAATGGTGCATCTCTGTATAATGTGATGTGTATATACTTGGTAGCAGTTAAAGAGATTAAAATACTGCCTCAGCTGATGAGATTCTAGAAACATCAGTCTCCATTGCAGGAACATTGTTCCTGGATTTTCTGCTGTTTATTAGCGCAATAAATACACATTTACTGGTCATGTAAAGTCTGCGGAGGCCCCGTGAGTGATTTTGCGATGAAACAGATATGCATTTTGCCCCAAGGAGCACACATGCTAGTGTGAGTGACAGGCGTGAACACGAGGAAGTCCAGCTGCCGCCAGAGCACTGCAGAAGTGTTGGGGCGTTTGCACGCCTCCTCCGGGTGATCCCCTTGTCTCCCGGGGCCCCCTGCCTGTCCTCCCTCAGTCACAGCCTTCACCCTGGTGTGCTGTGCCTCTACCGCTCAGGCTGCGTGGGCAGGAACTAACAGCACGGCCACGTGCGCGTTCCCTGCTTGGTGCTCACAGGTTCCTGGTGGCCCTGGACCTGGGGAGGGAGCGCTGTTGTTCCCTGTCCGCAAGCGAGCAGACGTGTCGGAGAGGCCGAGTCACTTGCCAGCCTCGCTCTGTAGGAAGTAGCGGAGGCAGGTTTTGAACAGAGGCCTCCATGCTCAGAATCCTGGGCTCTGCCCGGTGTGCTTGATGCCTCCCAGGGAACAGGCTTTCCCTGCTCTCCAGCCAGTAAGTGATTGGGGAAAATTAAGTGTGGCAACTCAGGTCCAACGCGGAGCCGCTTAGCACGTCTCCAGACAGGCACGGGGTGAGGCGGCAAAGCAGCACTGTGTTCAGGCTCCTTCCTCTCTTCGCCGTTTTCGCTGGGAGGGTTTCTGATGACTCAGTTTCACGGTACTGCGAGGTCCCTAGTTCCGGTTGCTTGCTGCACAGTGTCTTCCATAGGTGCTGGGTTGTTACCTTGGACTCAGCGTGTTCAAAGACAAGAGCTCCCGTTGTCACCTTTAATACTCCCTTCCTCAGCTGATGACCCTGCCAGCTGCGCAGGCCCCGAAGCCTGCGGGGTGGAAGTTCTCGGTTCTTTCCTAACCTTCATCCCAGCATCTCACCCTGTCACTTCCACCCTGCCCGGTCGGGTCGCTGCATGAAAACTGACGAGAGGAACTGGGAAGCTGAGGGTGAACAGTGCTTTGAGGCTGCGGAGCGCGCGGAAGGTCTCAGAGGCCATTCAGGCTGAACGTGTTTACGCCAGTGACCCTTGTTGCAGGAAGTGTGTGCCTACATCTGAACTAAAACTTCCTACTCTTGTGTAGCAGCATGCCCTCGTAAAAGCACTTGCACAGGCCGGAAAGGAGAGCGCGGGAGGGAGTAAGTGACAGTTTGTAAGCATAAGCAGCACGGCCAGGACCGAGCTCAAGTTGCCAGAGCCCTGGTGGCTGCAGCCAGAGGCCTCCTGATGGTTTTGCCACCATACAAGTGACAGGCGGCTTCTGCGTGTCCGCCTCGACCACCCAGGTGGGGAGAGGCATAGCCGCTGTCTGGCGGAGCTGCTGTGAGGATCAGACACTCCAGGAGGCTGCGGGCCAGCTCTGTCCCCCTGCCCACCCATCTGGACCCTGCAGACTGACCCTCCTCTGCCGTGTCCTGGGGGAATTGATGTTGTCTGCATATCACTTAGTCTGCCTCACCTGGGGATTTCCTTGTCCTCCGTAGACGTTTCCAGAAGATTTTCGCCCCACCACTTCATTCAACTGGCGTCTGCAGTTTTCACAGTTTGCTCTCTGCCTCCCTCCTGCCAGTCTCCCCATTAAGGTTATACCACAACTCTAGTGAGCTCTGTTAGTTTAGGATGGTGAGATTGCGGGCAGGGGCTTGGCCTAGCTTTCAAGATGTCGTGGAGACTCCACTCCTGCTATGCAGAGCCCGGGCAGCAGCAGTAACAGCTCAGGTGATGAATTTTGAGTCCCTCCACCCAAGTGGGAGACCTGAATGGAGTTCCTGGCTCCTGGCTCCGACCTGGCCCAGTCCTAGCCATTGCAGGCATTTGGGGAGTAAACCACTGAATTGGAAGTGTGCACTCTCTGTCTCTCTGCTTCTCAGATAATAAAAAATAAAGTTTAAAAAGTCAAAACCGAGGGGCCGGTGCAGTGGTACAGTGTGGTAAACTGCAGCCTGCAGTGCTGGTATCCCATCTGGGTGCCGGTTTGGTCCCAGCTTTTCTACTTTCAGTTAGCTCCCTGCTGGTGCACCTGGGAAGTCAGCCAAGCATGGCCTGAGTCCTTGGGCCCCTGCAACCATGTGGCAGACCTGGAAGAAGCTCCAGGCTCCCGGCTTTGGCCTGGCATAGCCCAGGTTTTGCAGCCATTTGGGAAGTGAATCAGCAGTTGGAAGACCTCTCTCTCTCTCTTTCTCTCTCCATAACTCTGCCTTTCAAATAAAAAATTTAAAATTGTGAGATTAAACTTAGATTTTCTGACCTTCAAGTGAGGAATTCTGGTTCAGTATTAGGAATAAGTTTTTAAATGAGAGCTGTCCAACTCTGGGTGGTGTGCCTCAGGAGGTTAAAGTTATCAGGAGTGGGAGCAGGGGTTTGGCACAGTAGTTAAAATGCCGCTTGGGATGCCCAGGTCCGTGTCCAGGTGCCTGACTCAAGTCAGACCAGCTTCCTGCTAGTGCACAGCCTGGGGGGGAGCAGTGATGGCTCCAGGATGTGCCACCCGTGCGGGGGACCTGGACTGGGTCCCTCTCTGTCCAGGCAGACTGATGCAGCCGATTGGGCTGGACACCTGTCACTATCTTCCTGCCTTTCAAATAAAATGAAAGTAAACAGTCTCTAAGACGTTACTGGGGCTGCAGGTGTCGGGTTTACGGCAGAGCCGGGCCTGGGGCTGTGCCGTCCCCCCTGAAGTTCCTGCGGTCAGCAGGCCGTTCTCAGGCCCCTGCATGAGGGTTGTTCACACATGAGCCTGTCCAACTGGAATCTTTGATTTGAGGTTTGACACTGTCCTAAGTAAGAGCAGTGACAAGGCGGGGGAGGTGGTATGACCCACTTCCCTGGGTATTGCCAGATACAGTGAGAGGGTTTGCTATGCGGACAGAAGCTGAAGATGAGGCTTCTGAGCCTCACCCAGCGCTGAAGTCATGGCTCCTCAGTGAGGTCGTGCCGTGGGTCCCTGTCGAGTGATGAGACTTGTCCGTGCTACACACGGTGCTTGTCTTGGCAAAGTGGGGGAAAGCGCTGAAGCCGCAGCGTGCGGGCAGGCGGGCGGGCGGGTCGCAGGTGGGGGGTTTGACAGATGTTGCTGCTTTCGGGTCTAAGGCTGCTGTGTCCTTCTGTGAGGTGTTTTGTTCTCACCTGTCACCTCCCTCGCCCACAGCCATCTTAGCGACCAGAAAGCCTGCTTGCTCTGCAGGGCTGTGTCTTGAATAGTGCCCATTAGTGACCCCTGGCCTGCATGTTAGCCTTCAGGTTAATGACCTTTTTTATGTTCATTCATTTTATTTTATTTCCCATCCCGGTTTTGTTTATTTCTTTTTTGTTTTTGTTTTTTCTGTTCTCTTTTTAAAAACCGTCGTGGTTTGCCCTTCATGTTCCCCAATGTTTGCACATGACAAGATGTTGCCATCCCAACATTACCTCCCACTTCACTGACCAGTGCCACTACTGACCATCTAGCGCCAGCCACGACGGGACCACTGCCCTCGGCTCCTCGGGATGTCGTGGCCTCCCTGGTCTCGACCCGCTTTATCAAGCTGACGTGGCGGACGCCTGCGTCGGACCCTCAGGGAGACAGCCTCACCTACTCTGTGTTCTACACCAAGGAGGGGACTGCTCGGTAAGTGCCCATGTGACTGCAGCCCGCTGGCCACCCGGCCCACCGCCACCCAGCGTGGCTCTTCGCTGTGCAGGGTCTGGTCACTGAAGTGCCTCTTTCCAAACTGTAGGCCATCGAAGAAATTCCAAGCAGACAAGTCCCATGTCCTTTCTTGCCTCTGTGGGATGACCTGAGGAGTGCGTAGGACCCTTCTACTCATAATTGCAGTGAGCACAGGTTGTCAAGGCTGTGAGTGTCTGCTGCACCCGTGCGCGTGGGCCGCTGAGCCCCAGGAAGGCTCCCTGATGGTGCAGGTGTGGGCCGCTGAGCCCCAGGAAGGCTCCCTGATGGTGCACGTGGGCCGCTGAGCCCCAGGAAGGCCCCCTGATGGTGCACGTGGGCCGCTGAGCCCCAGGAAGGCCCCCTGATGGTGCAGGTGTGGCCGCTGAGCCCCAGGAAGGCTCCCTGATGGTGCAGGTGTGGGCCGCTGAGCCCCAGGAAGGCTCCCTGATGGTGCAGGCGTGGGCCGCTGAGCCCCAGGAAGGCTCCCTGATGGTGCACGTGGGCCGCTGAGCCCCAGGAAGGCCCCCTGATGGTGCAGGTGTGGGCCGCTGAGCCCCAGGAAGGCCCCCTGATGGTGCAGGTGTGGGCCGCTGAGCCCCAGGAAGGCCCCCTGATGGTGCAGGTGTGGGCCGCTGAGCCCCAGGAAGGCTCCCTGATGGTGCGGGCAGGCGTGGGCCGCTGAGCCCCAGGAAGGCCCCCTGATGGTGCACGTGGGTCGCTGAGCCCCAGGAAGGCTCCCTGATGGTGCAGGCACGCGTGGGCCGCTGAGCTCCAGGAAGGCTCCCTGATGGTGCGGGCAGGCGTGGGCCGCTGAGCCCCAGGAAGGCCCCCTGATGGTGCACGTGGGCCGCTGAGCCCCAGGAAGGCCCCCTGATGGTGCAGGCACGCGTGGGCCGCTGAGCCCCAGGAAGGCCCCCTGATGGTGCACGTGGGCCGCTGAGCCCCAGGAAGGCTCCCTGATGGTGCAGGCACGCGTGGGCCGCTGAGCCCCAGGAAGGCTCCCTGATGGTGCGCGTGTGGTTCGAGGCGGCGGTGCGCGTTCAGCTCCTCTCTGTCCCCTCTCGGGAGCTCCCGGACTCTCCAGGCTGCTTCACGCCGCAGCCTGGCTTCGTGGATGTGTCCAGCCTCAGCATACCCCACCACCTGATGGCACAGCTTTACTCTTACCACTGTGGCCTCTCTTGCATTGTCTTCTCTTCACTCCCTTCCCCCTTCCCCTTTCTCAGCTAACACTGTGCTCCGTTAACCCTTCGTGGCCAGGGTGAAGCCTCGAGAAGCCCCTGTAGAACTCTCCCCACCTCTTCCAGTGTGTGCGGCTTTTTTCGTGTGTGTGTGTGTGTGTGTGTGTGTGTGTGTTTATACACTAATCCTGGCACTCATGACAATGACAGGTAGTCTTTCCCTGAGTGGTCATCCTTTGATTGTGTGTGTGCGCATGTGTCGTTTTTCCAGCCAGTGACAGACCCTGTGGGAGGAACCACCGCCGCATGCTGTGTCTGATTCCTTCATTTGCTCTTCACACCGAAACGAGAAAGCTAAGACACGTTTCAGCTAGGACTCCGCACATCAGATAAAGCCTGCATTTCTCTGAGGTGCTCGCAGCTGATGTATATCGTTTTAATGCCAGACTGGTGGGCTCTGCAGATGCACCCCTTCATTTAGTACTCCTGAGAGGGTCCAGTGGCATTGAACTTGCGCATGATGTGATTCAAACCCGATAGGCAGAGCTCACGTTACTCGTCAGTGACATTCCCCTGAACACCGTATTAGAAGTTTGGGGTTTTCCAGGTATAGGAAAGTGTGGCCCTGTCTACAGAATGGCAGCAGCTGTCTAGCAGGCGGAGAACAGACGTGTCAGTGTTCAGGCGTCCCCCGTGGATGCGTCTCTGCAGGTCTCCTGGAATTCACAGGGCGCGGAAGGCACCCAGCAGCTCTCTGTGCCCCAGGCTTCCGTCCCACACCTCTGCCCTGGTGGTGCTGTGTCTCGCTGTGTGTGTCACCCTCAAGCGAATGTCTCAGGCAGCTCCTGAGTGCCCCCAGCTGTGCCCACCCCCCCCAACCCCACACACCCACACACCCACACACCCACACACACCCCGCACTGCTGTCACACGTGGTGTGCTGGAGCCAGCTTCTCTCTCAGTCAGCTGTTGGATTTTCAGGGAATTCTGCAGACCTGCTGCTGACATGACCTGCCAGCGCGGAATCAGGCGTGGCGGGGGTGGGGGAGTGTTCACAGCTGCAGAGGTGCACGCCCGATCTGAGCGTTAAAACGTCTCCCAGGTCGCACTGCGGCTGCGTCCCCCTGTGTTGTTACGCTGGCTGGGCTTTCGTTTTGCAGTTTGCTTTCTCAGAGCACTGCACCGGTCTCTGGGGTTTGTCTTTCGTTGACTCACACACGGTGTCAGTCTTGCTCTGCAGAGTGTGTCCCGTACATGCAGCGGGCAGAGTCCGGCGGCCAGCGCCGAGGAAGTACGTGTAAGTAAACCAGCTGACTGCACTCAGTGGAGAGCAACTGCTGTTGGAGAAGTCATGTTGAGATAACTGCCCATCAGTAGGAAAAGAAAGGGTTGTATCTCTGTCTTACTTTAATGTAACAAGTTATAGATGAGTAATATGGAAATATTTTAAAACCTATAAACGTATTAGAAGAAAATATGGAAATCATTTTTAGCATTTGCTGCGTGGGAAAGGCCTTTTAAAGGAAGATAGGAAATCAAGAAGCCGTAACAGGAATGGTTGACAGAGTTTATTGTGCAACAGTGTAGAATTCCACATGGTAAAACATCATAAACAAGGTTAATGTATCGAGTGACAAACTGGAAAAAATGTTTGCAACATTTCTAAAGGATTGTGTAGATACCCAATTAAATAAGCAGCTCCCACAAATCACGAGTGACAGACACTGTCCTGAGAGGCGGGCTGCAGCCAAAGCCAGCTCACCGAAGCTAGCGGAAAGCCCACTGGAGCTAAAAACGGTCTTCACCATCACTAGCAGTCTTGGAAACACTAAATAAGGAGTTACCCTTGCTCATGCATAAGGCTGGCAGTAACCTTAGGTTGCTGATGTCCAGTGTGCAGTGAGTTGAAGACTGGAAGGAACCTGCTCTGGGATGTGGCATCGTCCGTAGAGAAGGTGACTTGCAGAATTCTCACATGTTTTAAATGCATGTAGCGGTCAGTAAGCAGTCACACTTCTGGTTGTCTGTATGAAACAGATACGAGTAGGAGGAATAGGACACTCAATGACAGATTTCCAGTTAGAGAATACAGGACTCACCATGTGTGTGTCCATCTCAAGTATGAGGCAGCAGGTTTTCAAAGTGAAACCTTGTATGTTGCTGTGGAAGTACATGCCAAGAGCAGCGATTCCGCAGCCAGCGACAGCCCCCAGTCCCACACGGGACACTAGGCAGTGTCTGGTGTCAGGTCAGAGTGCAGAGCTGCGCGCTGGCATCTGGTGGGCAGAGGCCAGGGGCTGATGGGCACACTGCAGTGCACACAGCAGGGAGTGTCCTGCCCAGTGCCTCAGTGCCAAGGCCGAGGAGCCCCGGCGTGGGGATCTGCTGAAATCACATCAGCACACGCCGCACTCAGGTCTCCAGGTAAGACAGGTTAGGAGGAAGAATGGGGGCCTTTCGTCCAACAGCATATAAAGAAAGGATGCTTTATAAATGAAGTTGAAATTGAAAGACACACCCGAGTTAAACTGACAGGGCGAGTGGAGCAGACAAGTGAAAGGAAGAGAAAGCGCAAGGCAAAGATCCTGTTCCCCTGTGGGTCTGATGTGAGAAGGAGAGAAGTCAGGGACGCTGGCCTGCCGGGCCCAGAGTCTGAGCTCAGGATTAGCAAGGCCTCAGAGGGAGGCAGAAGCCTGGACCCAGGTGTTGGGCTGCCCAGTAAGAATTCAGACTCAGGTAAGGAGGGGGCGTTGTACATTTTAGACTCTTCAGCAGGTGTGTGCCGTAGATGGACTAAGCTTGCGTGGTTAGCAGTACTCTGGGTGCACTACCCAGGACCAGAGTGAAGGCACAGAGTCGTGGGCCCAGTGGGCTTGTGAGGCTGATGGCCTGGAGGATGGTGGGAGCAGTGGCCAGGAGAGGACAGGACAGATTCAGGGACTTATTTAAAGGAAAGCTGCTTTCCTTTGAAGTTTATGATTTTGAGTGGAGGCCAGGAAGGAGTGATACAGACCTCTGTGAGTCACAGGGCTGTTTTATAAGCAGGACTGATTTAACCTTTCTAGGCTTAAATTTTTCCTGTCTTAAGAAATGACTAATGTATGTACTTTGCAGATTTATATTAAGAATTCACTCTTCAGGGTCTATGCCACTACTTACATTGGAAAATTCCCCTGCTCTCTGCATCTGAGAGCTCAGCCAGTAGGTGGCGCTCTATGTCCTGGTTCTGATCCATCGTTGTGCTGGGTACCTGTGTGATTTTCACTTTGTTAAAAAAAAAAATCGCCCTTAATTTAAGCAACAGCACTTTGCTGATGCTGACTGTTAGATGGAGAACAGAGAGTAAGTTACCCTGATATTAACAGGATACAGAGATCTGCTCGTCTAGGCCGGGGTTGGCAAACTACAGACGTTAGGCCAGATCAGCCGTTACTTTTGTGGCCCAGGAGCTAGGAGTTGCTTTTTGTGTAAGTAACTCACTCCTTAGCCTGTGTGTGTGCACTGTCTGGCCTTTTAGGGAAACCTCTGTCCCCCGCGCCTCTCTCTCTGGTGTGAGTGATGTGCCAGTGGCCCTGGCAAGCCGGCAGCACCACAGGGCAAGAACGGGCTCTGGCAGCTCCTCACCCCGCCCCTTCCCCTCTGTCTCGACTGTTGGTGGTCGCCGTGTAACACGCTTCCGGGAGACCTGTGCTTTCTCACGTGCCCGGGGTCTTGTCTGAGAGTTAGTATTTTCTGGATGGAAACCGGGCCGTGGGAGCTTGCAGCAGGCTGGTGTCAGAAGCCTGTCAGTTCCTGAGTGTCTTATCTCAGGTAGGCGCACCTGTGACCAGGTCTTTGCTACCGCGGTACCTCTGCATAAGTGTGTTTTAGATTGTGCTACGCTCTCTCTCCCGATCTTTCCCTTCCACGTAGGAACAGATTTTCTCAGCGTATGTTTGTGATGCTGCCCCCACCCGTATGAGCCTTGTGCTGAGTGCTTCTGCGGTGTGTGAATGTGCGCGAGACACTGTCCTCTACTCCACCCCTCCCCCCGCCCCCGTCGTCTCTGTAAGAGAGAACTGAAAACCTCGGGGCGCAGGGCGAACAAAAGAGGTCCGCCCGTGCCCGCCCGAGGAGCTCTCGTCCTGGTGATCGTTGGTGTGCAGGCCGAGCGTCGGAAGCCGCGGAGTGTGAGCAATCAGCCGGGGCCCTCCTGCCAGGGCCTGTGATTGAGATTTCTAAGATAACGAGCTGTGGCAAACGTGAAAAATACCGCTCTGAAATGCCGACGATACGTGCCTTCAGACGGACCGGCGCGTGTCCCGCAGCCCTCAGCAGATTGTAATCAGCAATTTCCAGCCAAATCGTTGATGTCTTAGTGAGGCACCTCGCTGCGGAGGTCAGGTCGTTCAGAATGATTGCCTCCACAGCGCAGTTTGGGACTCGTGTTCGCCGCGATGGCGGCCGCTCTTTGCGTAGATGGCCGTCGTAAAAGCCAGCTGTTTGAGGAACATTTCTTCCCCGAATGTGTTTAACTCCTTGTACGGGAGTCCTGTTTTCGTTGAAGCATGGTAGACTCAGCATCACTGTGGACCTCAGCTGGACCCACACCTCCCAGAGCAGACCCAGACGTGCTACCTAGTCCGAGGACTGGCTTTTACATTGTCATCTCACAGTCCTGGGCCACCGGATTCTTGGGTGTTGCTGGTGGTAAGATTGGCTGCTTTTCACATCGGCCTGAAGTTCATTCACGAACGAAAATCAGAGCCATGGTCAGCTTGGGATTCACTTAGCTTTTTAATGTTCTTGTTCTCCCAGAAGTGAGAACCCCCAACTTTCTTCTTATTCAGAGTCTCTTACCCAAAATCCATGTGAACTTTCCATGAAAATCAGGTCATACCTAAAACCACCTTCTCTGAGTTTCCCGGAGAAGCAGGACCTAAGGCTGTGTGCAGCTGGGCCCACGCCCCCTTTGGAGTCCTGTGTTCTCTGGGAGGCAGTGTGGAGCAGGCCCTCGGCGGGCCTGTCCAAGACCTGTGGCCCTGCTCTTCTGTCGGTTCCCACGTTCAAGTTGTGGACGTTACCTTGGCTTAAGTTGTGGGATTTTGACGTGGAGTGGGAAATGAAACGGTTCATTCTGGCAGTGTTCCTGATTGATTGCCTTCTCTTTCCAAATCCTTTGTCCAAAGGGAGCGTGTTGAAAATACCAGTCGCCCAGGAGAGATGCAAGTAACCATTCAGAACCTAATGCCAGCGACGGTGTACATCTTCAGAGTCACGGCTCAAAACAGGCATGGCTCTGGCGAGAGTTCGGCCCCGCTGCGTGTGGAAACGCAGCCTGAAGGTGAGTCTCCCAGCGCCTGTCCTCTGCCAGGAGGGAGCCTGCGGGTGTGGGGGAGCAGGATGTCCCGGGCCTGCATCTGCGGGAGACGCTCACGTGCTCCTGTTTGCTGCCCCTGAGACTGGCTCAGATGCCTCCTAGACTGCTCTCCGCCTGTCGAGTGCTGTGTCCCCACAGGCTTAAATCCATCGTCACTTCCTGCCTCCAGCTGTGCTCAGTTACGTCCTGCTTGTCTGATGGCAGAGACGAAGCCTCTGTCACCCTCGTTTCCCGTCATGTCTGATGCCGTGCCTTGCACGTGGTGCACGTATGTAGTTGTCCTGTCTTTATGCCACACTTTTAGAAGCTCTTTGAGGCACTGTTTTGGTCTCCTGTGCCAGTCCTACTTCTAAGATCTTCTGTAGCCCAAATCCGTCTCAGGTTGGCTTATTGTAAGAATGTCTTGTGTATGTGAAGTTTGCACTGCAAGCAATAGGCCTAAAGTTGCAAGAAGCGCTGAGATCATCACAGCTGCTCTTCCCACTCAGGGCTTTCTTCTGGACTTGGATTATTGTTATTATTTAAGATTTAGTTATTTTATTTGAAAGAGTAGCAGAAAGAAATCTTCCATGTACCACGACCCTGGCCTCTAGACTTGCCGCCTTTTATATAAGCCACTTTCTCCTTAAATGCTTGTCCGGTCTCCATGTTGGTAATTGCGCGTGCAGTGTTAGCCAGCCTCCAGTGATGGCGATGTTACTTCAGGAAGAGCGTGTGAGGTGCATTTGTGGAAGCTGCTGAGCAGGGTGCAGAGCAGATGAGGTGACTTAGACGTGCAGCTGAGCTGTCGGGTAATTCCGGGCCTTCGCCTGGTGGGGAGAAGGCGGGCGCGTGGAGCTGCGTGGAGCTTGCTGACGTAGCGCACCAGTCCCTCTGCGGTTCGTCAAGTCCCTTCCACGCCGGGCGCGGTGCAGTGTTCCCGAGATGCAGGAGGAGCCTTGAAGACTGAGCAGGCACGATAGGAGGCCACTGACTTCAGGGCTGCAGGCTAACGATCAGGAATCGAACCTGAGCAAGGCTCGGGCTCCACTAGGGAAGAACGTGTTCCCCATGACAGCAAGAGGGGGTTGAATCTCGCGGCTTTCCACGTTCAGACAGGAGCCGGAGCGCTCCATTAGACTCCGAGCTCAACGGCTGGCTGTCCGTTAGGTCTCGTGTTCAGGCGCCACACACCAGACATGGAGACACAGCAAGGAAAGGCCACGGTGAAGATGGCTCGTCCATGCGGGGTCCCAGGGCAGGCAGAAACCCGAGGTCATCTCGAGTTAGAGGCAGAACAAGCTTTCTCCAGGAAGCCCCCTCCCCTGGCCCAGTCCTGGAAATAGGACCAGACAGGCGCAGGCAAGGTGAGCCATGAAGGAGATGGACGAAAAGCCCTTGGATGGGATCCAGTTACTCAGGAAAGCCAGTTCCGCTGGAGGTTGTGAACCTCCGGAAGCTACGTGAAAGTGTGTGTGTGTGCATGCGTGCACACACATGTTCAGATTTCCTCTGAAAGAAGGGGTCTGTTGCAGTCATCCTCATCTCAGAGGTCGCGAGTCGCGCCGTTGAGTGCCACTGAGCCAGGAGTCAGTGTGGAGTGGGGAGGTGAGGGGACAGGTGTGCAGAAGAATGGTTGGTTGAGTGCCTAGCCTGTGCCAGTCGCTGTGCTAGGCTGTCAGGGTGGAAAATGAGTAAGACAAGGAGCTTAGCGCTCTAGGGACAGACGAGCAAAGACAAGGCGGTGTGATGTGCTGGCTGAAAGAGAGTGCGGTGGGAGGGGCAGCAGGCTCGGGGAGGGTGTTTTAGGGATGGAGGGGAACATCATGTGTTTTGGCGAAAGGGAAGTGGTTACTGGAGAGAGATTTGCATTTCCTGTGGAGCTGTTCTTCTTGTGTGGAGGAGGCACAGATGCTGGAGTCAGCCTTGGAAAATATTTTACATATTTAGCTTCACAGACCAACTTACAGCGCTTTCCGCTTACGCCACATACAGCTGAAATGAGAGAATTCATTAGCACCCTTTTTTAGGCCAATAACAGTCAATGAATGCATTGAGAGCGATCTCCAGAGAACTTAGGGGCTGCTTACTTTCCTCTCCCTTCAGTAAGTTACCGGAAAGTTGTCAGTAGCGGCACAAGTGTAGCAGATCCGTTCCTGTGCATTTGTCAGGCCGTAAAAAATATCTGAAAGTCAAGTGAGCGACGTGAGTCATGACTAAGTCGGGAAACCTGGGAGCGACCGCATTCAGCTTTCTCCCCTTGGCACAGCCAGACTCATCTGTGCTTTGGTGCTGTTACTCAGGAAAGCCAGTTTGTTAACATCTGTGAGGTTCCCGTCCTTCCAGCTCGTACATCCAGTGAGTAGCTGTTGTGGGAAATGCTGATGCCAGAGGAATTGTTTTCAAATACAGAACGCCATCCAAGTGCAGGCGCAGCAGCTGCCCAGGATCTAGGTCCGAGCTGGGGCGGGGATGCTGTGTGAGCCGTCACAGGAGTTGGGACCCCCTGGGCAGGCTGATGGCGCTGCAAGTAGGTCAGCCGACCATCTGCTCTGCCAGGCGCTCGCATCCTGCCCAGGGTATTGTCATCGTCTCCTTCTGGTCTTCCTGAGCACACGTTTTGGAATCAGAAAACACCACCGTCGGCTAATGTCCCACCACTCGGGAGAGTTCCTTGAACTTCACAACCTCAGCTGTCAGCAGGGGTGATGGTAGCAGCTGCCACGTTGGAGTGAGCAGAGACCAAACGAGAACACACGTGTGCAGCCTGCTGAGCAGTCAGTGAGGGCCGGCTGTGTGTGCAGCTGACTGCCACTCCGAGGGCTGGCTGTTGGTACTGTTGACTGCCACTCCGAGGGCCGGCTGTGTGTGCAGCTGACTGCCACTCCGAGGGCCGGCTGTGTGTGCAGCTGACTGTCACTCCGAGGGCTGGCTGTGTGTGCAGCTGACTGCCACTCCGAGGGCCGGCTGTGTGTGCAGCTGACTGCCACTCCGAGGGCCGGCTGTGTGTGCAGCTGACTGCCACTCCGAGGGCCGGCTGTGTGTGCAGCTGACTGTCACTCCTTTTTTCTGGTTCTGGTCCTTTACTTTCTTCCTTCAGTGTGCATGTTTACTTATCCTTTCTAAACGCAGGCCTGATTACATCCTGCCCCTGGTGAGAGAGCTTCAGGAACCCCCAGCACCGGCTAGCGCTCTGTGTGTCATCCTCCATGTTCCCCTTCCTCGTCTCCACCCAGCTGCACCGCCCCGTTGACTGGAGCCGTTTCTGCTTGGAACCTGAGGGCACTGTTTGTTCTGGACTCTGGGAAGCCCCCTACTCCTTCCCTGCTCTGACCAGCCCCTGCCAAGACACAGCTGGGTGCTCTGTGCCTGTGTTCCCTAACCTGCTAGCACTTGGGGCGTCGCTGTCACGGCGTGTCTGACTTCCCTCCCAGGCCGGGTGTTGCTCTCCGTGGGTAGGGGCTTCGGCCGCTGCTGCACCCCCAGGGCCTCCTGTGGCGTCTGGCAGAAGTGGGCTCTCTTTTTGGGCTGTTGCCTTGGGTTTTGCTGCTCAGCCCCACAGCAAAACTGGGATTTGACAAACCACGAGTCCCGCAGCGTCCCATTTTTTTCGTATTTTGAATATGAAATACTTCACAGATAAAACTTGGTTTTTTTTTTTTTTTTTTTTTTTTTGACAGGCAGAGTGGACAGTGAGAGAGAGAGACAGAGAGAAAGGTCTTCCTTTGCCGTTGGTTCACCCTCCAATGGCCGCCGCAGCCGGCGCGCTGCGGCCGGCGCACCGCGCTGATCCGATGGCAGGAGCCAGGAGCCAGGTGCTTTTCCTGGTCTCCCATGGGGTGCAGGGCCCAAGCACCTGGGCCATCCTCCACTGCACTCCCGGGCCACAGCAGAGGGCTGGCCTGGAAGAGGGGCAACCGGGACAGAATCCAGCGCCCGGACCGGGACTAGAACCCGGTGTGCCGGCGCCGCTAGGCGGAGGATTAGCCTAGTGAGCCGCGGCGCCGGCCTAAAACTTGGTTTTGATTTGAGTCATAAAATGCAGAGTGCAACCACTTCAGCCAATCTTCTTAGGTCTTACTGTTGTTAAGATACGGCCAGCGTGACGGTGCTGCCGAGAATGCCTGTCGAAGAGTTGCTCGTTTTCAATGATTTCTTGGTTCTCTCTTGAAATTTTCCCTCCAGTCCAGCTCCCTGGCCCAGCACCTAACATCCGAGCGTACGCGACGTCCCCTACCTCCATCACTGTCACCTGGGAGACGCCGTTGTCTGGCAATGGAGAGATTCAGAACTACAAATTGTACTACCTGGAAAAGGGGACGGACAAGGAACAGGTAGAGGACTAAGCCAGCCTTGGCCCATTCACTGGGAGAGGGGGGTCGAAGCATGTCTCCACATCTCAGTAGCTGCTCACCGGGTGGGGGACGAGGTACAGGAGGTGGAGCGTTGCCAGAGTCTGGTGGTGACCAGCAGGGGTCGCTAGGCGTCAGGTGGTGTCTCCAGGTACACGGGGCTTGGGTGTGATGAACATGGAAGGAGGCCTGTGCTGTTGGGCAGGAGGCAGTGTTCCCGGGGTGGCTCCTTTGTCTTGCAGCATTTCTTTTGCCCACGTCATGTATCTTTGCACTGTTTTATTTCATTCCAGGACATCGACGTTTCAAGTCACTCCTACACCCTTAACGGGCTGAAAAAGCATACCGAGTACACCTTCCGAGTGGTGGCCTACAATAAGCACGGCCCCGGGGTGTCCACGCAGGACGTCACTGTGCGGACCCTGTCAGACGGTGAGTCTGCTCCTGTGGAGCCAAGGCCCAGGCCCAGGCCTCTCTGGTGTGGCTTTGCTCAGGTCACTTCCGTTGGTGAGTGTCTCCTTCCACGTGGAGTGTCAGTGACCCCAGCTTGGTCAGGCTGTCGGGAAGATTCAGCGAGAAGGCATCGCCCGCGGTGGCCGGCACTGTGCAGGCTCCCTCGGCATCTGGTAGCTTGAGCAGGGCCTCTGCCTGTCGATACTGCTGCTTCTCCCTGACAGAGCAGTCGGCTGTCAGGTTAGCTTCACTCTTACTCTGCCTAGCAGTCGGAGTTGCACGCCGTGTTGGTCCTTCTAATCCCTTCGTGTTTTGTGACAGTTTCATTTCTCACCTGTGACTGAACAAAGTTGCCTGTGTGTGTCCGTGACCAAGGCAGTGTTTCTCAGACTGCAGACTGCCCAAGAGATTGAGGTGGTCGAGACCGGTGTCTTTAGATTAGACTAGAAAATACCAGCGTTCATTGCACTTAATACGTGTGTTTTCATTAAAATGCCTGAAAACGGTGTGCGTAACAGCCCTTACATCTGTAAACACGCATGCGGTAGAAGCTGCAGTTTGCCTCTTCAAGCCGGTGGTTGAACTCGACATGACCAGCATGGAGGTGGGCTGACTGCAGGCTCACTCCGCTGCCGTGGGGCGTGGGTAAACATGTGGCCTCACAGGACTCCTGTATCCTGCTGGAAACACTTAACTGGGATCAGATTGCTGTGAACCACACATCTCCACACGGAGGGAATTTCTGGCCCCCGCCCCCACTCTGCTGCTCAGTCATAGCTGAGGAGTCATCGTGGGCTCTAGATTGAAGAAGAAACACAGCACGGTGATCACGCAGGCCTGGGATCTGGAGGTGCAAACAGCTGTAAGAGAGGCTGTGGGTCTGTGACTGGATGTTACTAGGCAGTGTTAAACGTCAGCTGTGTTACTAGGTGTCCTGGATGACAGTGCATTCGTGTGCATCAGTGTCCTGAATGTGGCCGCTGTCCTGTAGCTTTGCTGGACAGCATCCCAGTGCCAGCACACATGTGACGACGTGCCCTGAAGGGTTTAGGAGGCGTGATGGCTGCAGCCATCTGGGTGACTCAGAAGCTGTGTGTGTGTGTGTGTGTGTGTGTGCATTCACAGAGAAGTAAAGCAGAGTAGTGATAATTGACGATAGAGGAAAAGAATATATAGTGTTCATTGTCCGATGTTTTCACTCTCTGCGGTGGGCTTGACATTTTCAGACTTAAGGAGTTTGGAGAAAAGGGGCTAGCACTTTGGCGCAGTAGGCTAAGCCTATGCCTGCAGTGCCAGTATCCCATATGGGTGCCACTTTGTGTTCCGGGTGCTCCACTTCCCATCCAGCTCTCTGCTGTGGCCTGGGAAAGCAGTAGAAGATGGCCCAAGTGCTTGAACCCACATGGGAGACCCAGAAGAAGTTCCTGGCTTCGCATCTGCCTAGCTTTGGCCACTTTGGCCGTTGCAGCCATTTAGGGAGTGAACCAGCAGATGGAAGATCTTTCTGTCTCTCCCTCTCACTGTCTGTAACTGTACCTCTCAAATAAATAAAACCTTAAAAAAAGGGGGAAAAGAAAATGTAGTTTGGCTGTCCACCTGCATAAGCCCACTGATCATGATTTGGGGAGGAGCTAACGTGGGCATTTGTGTCTGCATGCGAATCTGCAGTAAGAGGGTTGGCACGCTGGCCGCAGTGCCTGTAGGAACGGAGCACCGCTCAACAAGGTGGCTGCAGACTTCGGCGGATCCAGGCCCACTAAGACAAACGCCTGCCCAGCAGGTGTCTGTCGATTCTCGGCTATGACACGGGAATGGTGATGGAGACTCCTTCCAGGGGTGACAGCAGCTGTCAGTGCCTCTGCCACTGAGCCCGACGGTCTCTGGGCACAGACAGTTAGAATCAGTCATGCGCCTTTTCCAAGGACAGGTCCATGTCCTCCCTCAGACTCTGCGCCTGACTCTCCAGGGTGAGGGCTGAGGCACCCCCAGGGACAGCGGTGACCCAGACACATTCTTTGCCTTCCAGCAGCCTTAGCACAGAGTGCCTGGGTCAGTAGCCGGTCACCAGATGGAGAGGAGGGAAGAGAAGTTTCCTGGGGTGAGGAGAGAAGGCCTGGAGCTGCATTGTGTGGGTGGTGCACCTCAGTTTCTTCGTTCAGCCACCACCATGAAGGGAGGTGGTGGAGAGTGTGGGGCCACACACTGAAAATCTGTTATGTTCTCATCCGTGAGGAACTAGAGCTATGCAGCGATTTGTTTAGCCAACAGTCCCAGACTCTTGCTTCTAGATGGGTGTTCCTTGATGCTTAGCTGCCTCGGGAAGCCAGATGGTTCCCTTCAGGGAAGCTGTCTGGGAGGCCCCACGCGGAACCCGCTGATGTACGCGCGTCTCATTTGCATCCATAACACCCGTACCCGGCTCAGCCACCTTTGGTAGACTCGGTTCCAGGAAACACACGGCTGCTCCGGGAAAATGCAGATGAACTCGGGGACTAGAACAGTGGAGTGTCTAGGCGAGAACAGAGCCAGCTCAACTTCCCTAGGGTTTTGTTTATTTAAAATTTTTATTTATTTGAAAGAGACAGAAGTCTTCTCTCCGCTTGTTCACTCCCCAAATGGCCACAAGGACCAGGGTTGGGCCAGCCAAGCCGAGGCCAGGAGCCAGGAGCTTCTTCTAAGTCTCCCTGGTGGGAGCAGGTGCCCAAGCATTTGGGCTGTCCTCCTCTGCTTTCCCAGGTGCATTAGTGGGGAGCTGCATCAGAAGTGGATCAGCCGGGACTTGAACCTTCACCCATAGAGGATGCTGGCTTCACAGGCGGCAGCTTTATCCACTACGCTGGGCCACAGTTCTTGCCCCGACATCCTTGTTTTTAAAAACGAATGAAGGATCTGCGCTGTGGCATAGCAGGTAAAGCCGCCACCTGTGGTGCTGGCATCCCATATGGGCGCCAGTTTGAGGCCCAGCTGCTCCACTTCCGATCCAGCTCTCTGCTGTGTCCTGGGACAGGAGTAGAAGATGGCCCAAGTCCTTGGCCCCCTGCTCCCACATGAGAGATCCGGAGGAGGCTCCTGGCTTCAGATCAGCACAGCTCCTACTGTTGTGGCCAATTGGGGAGTGAACCAGCGGATGGAAGACCTCTCTCTCTCTCTCTCTCTCTCTCTCTCTCTCTCTCTCTCTCTCTGCCTCTCCTTCTCTCTCTGTATAACTCTGACTTTGAAATAAATAAATAAATCTTAAAAAAAAAAAAAAAAAAGAATGAAACGTGGCCACACCCTATCCACACAGTAGAGCTGGTTGTATCCACAGTGCTGGGGACGTGTGTTTGTGGGAAGTCCAGCCAGGAACAGTCACATAATGGGGCCTTTAACACTATTTTTTTTTCTTTTTGCTTTGCAGTTCCCAGTGCTGCTCCTCAGAATCTGTCTTTAGAAGTGAGAAACTCAAAGGTAAAACTTGGCAGTGTCTTTGTTCATCTTTACTGATATAAACCACGGAGCCTCGGGCTTCCAGCAGGGGATTCCAGGGGAAGCATTGGAGCAGCCGGAGGCCCGTGTTGTCAGACTGACTGCAGAACACACACGCGGTCTGGTACAGAAAGAACACGGTGTCGCTGCTGCACTTGCCAGTGGACCTGGGCCCGGAAGCCGACGTGTTGATTCCGTTCAACTTTCAAAGCTCCTTTAGCCTTTATCAAGTAGGCGGCCGTATTTCTGTGCAGCGCATGTTCTAGATCGTAACCTCGCAGACCTTGGTGACAGCAGCAGGAGGGAGTTGTGACAGAGTGGTCCCCTGTGTTCTGAGGTGGGCCAGGCGTGAGTCGGGGCAGCTGTGGTCGGGTGCTTGTGTGCACTCCGGCCTCCACTTCCTGTCAGGTCTGCGGCACACCGAGGGCCACGTGGCCGTGTGTGCCTCCAGAGGCTACACGGACCACTGAAACACTGAGGGCTTTCGGGAAGTCTCCTTGAGGAAGCCACCAGCTGCTGCCTGGCGGCCCTTTTCTTTCAGAGTTGAGATGGAAGCTGTTCAGTGTTAGCCATTCCAGGCTGGCAATGGGGTGATTCTTTGTCCCTGACAGTAGTCTGCCCCCTATTCCAAAGTGCCTCTGACCTCACGTTTTCTTCTGGAAGCTTCCCTGAGACCTCTGTCCAGTGTGTTTATTCCGACAAAACGCCCAGGAGATCAAGGGTCCAGAGCATATGTACTGCCCAAGTAAATTGTCTCCCCAGTTGGTCACCAAAGGGTTTGGAGACTGAAGTGGCTTCCGAGGAGTCGTTCAGTGACTGAAACTGAGCACCCTGCCACCTCCTTCTCGGCCCCCCGTCGGAGCAGGGAGGACCCTCGCTTTCCAGTGTTCACTCTTCGCCCTGTGACCTTGTCTTTCCCAGAGCATCGTGGTTCACTGGCAGCCCCCTCCCCCAGCCACACAGAACGGGCTCATCTCTGGCTACAAGATTCGCTACCGAAAGGCTTCCCGAAAGAGTGATGTGACCGAGACCTTGGTAGTGGGAACGCAGCTGTCTCAGCTGATTGAAGGTAGGCTGCTTTCCCCGACGTGCAGTTACGTCAGTCTAACAGCTGCTCAGGGTATCCGCTTACACAAGCAAACTAAACGCAGCCAGATGTTGCTAATGGCTCCTCCTACCGCTGACTTGATGAAAATTAGTGGAAAACACTCTCGCCAGCCCACACCATCTCTGAGTGGTGAAATCGAGTTGTTTGATTTCCTTCGTTACGTTTTTCCAGCATTCTCCACGTGTTCTCTCTTGAGTGTATATGTTATATTTTTGTAATCCAAAAAGGTGAAGCGAAGCTGTAAAAGCTAAGCAGTTGCCCCAGTCTGTCCAGCTGGTTAACAGAGGTCCACAGAGTGACACGTGTTGCAACACCAGCCCTGCGTGTGCGTGCCTGCGGTCTGCAGCAGCCTGCGATGCTGCAGTCCTGTTTGTGCCTTAAGGCGCTGTGAGGTCTTAGAAAACCGTCCGCAATGGTGCCTTCTGTGTACTTTCCCCTGGCATATCTGGGAAGGTAGGCCTGAGTGCCTGTCCTGGAGGGGCTGCCGGTGCCTTTGCAGGCCGGGGAGAGGCAGGTTATGGGCGCACCTCACCCTGCTGGTGTTGGGACCCTGCTTACAAAGAATGGAGGCAGATGCCCCTGAGCAGCAGGGACTTTCCTACAGGACTAACGAGGCTGCAGCGCTGACCCTGGTCCACTTCCTTCCCAGCTCTGCCGAGACTCGGTCGGCCTCCGCCACGCATGCCCAGGTCCGAGCCCGTGGCCCCCCCTGTCCCAGGAGTGCCCTCATCATGGTGGTGTCTGTCTGTGTCCTGACCTAGCTTGTCTGAGTTTGGCAAGCAAACAGATGAATTTGAGTTTAGCACATTTACAGCCATAGATGTGGGCTGTCTGTCACTGCAGCACTGCGACGGCAGGGGTGTTTCTTCTCCAGACACCTGTTCTTGAGGGGATTGATCCGTAAAATTCCGAAGTAGAGCTGGCGGAGAGAGCTGCAGGCATTGGAGGCTCTGTCGCCCAAGCGCGGGAACTCCCGTCTGCACCCGTGGACACTACTCTCGGTACATGGCGTCGCTCCTGGGTAGGCACTGAAAGGTCAGCCAGGGCTGGCACAGCCCCCAGGGGCCAGGTCCTGGGAGCCAAGGTCTGCCTCCCTGGCAGATGCTGTAAGCTGCTGAAAGCCAAGAGGGCCCCTGGCCGTGGAACCTGAGCCGGGGTAGCCAGCAGACCTCTGTCCTGCCACGTGACCTCACAGGTGGGACTCAGGCCTTCAGATTGGGTTGGCTCCATGGCTGCCCTCAGTCTCTTGGCTTCTGCAGAGAAGCCCCCCACCCCCACCACCCCCGAGCACAATGAACACAGGTTCCGAGGGCTGGTGAGCGTCTCCCTCAGGGAGCGTTGATCCCGACGGTTTCAAAGTCAGTTTCTGGTTTTACTCCAGAGTCAGGTACGTACCATCTCCCTCTGTGAGGCTTCTGTTTGGAGTGTTTCAGAGTACTATTTATTATACACCAGACCCTGTTCTTTTTTTTTTTTTTTTTTGACAGGCAGAGTGGACAGTGAGAGAGAGAGAGAGACAGAGAGAAAGGTCTTCCTTTGCCGTTGGTTCACCCTCCAATGGCCGCCGCGGCCAGCGCGCTGCGGCCAGCGCACCGCGCTGATCCGATGGCAGGAGCCAGGAGCCAGGTGCTTTTCCTGGTCTCCCATGGGGTGCAGGGCCCAAGCACCTCGGCCATCCTCCACTGCACTCCCTGGCCACAGCAGAGAGCTGGCCTGGAAGAGGGGCAACCGGGACAGAATCCGGCGCCCCGACCGGGACTAGAACCCGGAGTGCCGGCGCCGCTAGGCGGAGGATTAGCCTAGTGAGCCGCGGCGCCAGCCGCAGACCCTGTTCTTACTGCTAACACAAGAATAAAATGCAGTCCTAGCCCACCAGGGGACAACTCATGCCCTCAGGGAAACATCTGATCTGTAAGCAAAATACAATTCCCCAGGAAAAAAGACTTTGTTATGGAAATTCTTGCATTTAAATATCATACCTAACTCTGTAGGTTTTATTGAGCTTTTATTAGCGTTGGCCAGCACTGGGTATAAAACGGCGAATGAACACAGAGCCTTGTTCTCTTGACGCTTGGTAAACACTGGAGGCCCGTGAGGATCAGCAGGCGCCTGTGCCGTGTGGTGATCTCTGATGGAGTTCTAGCACTGTGTGTACCGCACGCGCCGTCGGCTGCAGAGCAGGAGGGGACGCTCAGCCTCGGCACACACACCTGTGTGCTCGCTCGCTCCCCAAGGTCGGGGCTGGCGATCGCATTGTCAGAGTCTGGCAGGCCGTGGTGGAGCTGTGCTTGCCGCTGGTCCCGGTGTGGTCTCATCACACACACACACACACACACACACACACAGTCCCGGTGTGGTCTCATGAGACAACACACACACACACACAGTCCCGTTGTGGTCTCATGAGACAACACACACAGAGTCCCGTTGTGGTCTCATCACACAAACACACACACAGTCCCATTGTGGTCTCATCACACAAATACACACACACACACGGTCCCATTGTGGTTTCATGAGACAACACACACACACGCACACACACAGTCCCATTGTGGTTTCATGAGACAACACACACACACACACACACACGGTCCCGTTGTGGTCTCATGAGACAACACACACACACGCACACACGTGTACTGCAGCACTTTCTGGCTCACTTGTGCAGACACATGACGGGTGTAAGCTGACTTGGGCCTGGCCATTCTGCCCCTTGCTTTCTGTAGGCAGACAAGTTGGGATGGGCTGTGGGAACAGAACCTGTCTCTCCCCCACACCATGTGACAGGATTAGTTAACTCAGCCAGGGCGCGTTTCGCATCCTGGCTAAATCACTCACAGTCTCACTGTAGGAGTTTCTCTACTGTGATGTTCTCAGAAACCCCCTTACAAGACCTACCACGGCGCCTGGTGTTGAAGTGCTCTCCGGATGCACGCATGCGTGCGTGGCTCTGTGGCTCACTGGCCACCGTACTGACCATTGCCCTGCCCTGTAGGGGACACTTCCATGTGTGGGTCTCATGGTGTTTGATGCACTGGCAATCTTCAGCCCTACTCACTGGCAGTTCATAAAAGCTGTGTACAAAGATTTGAGTGTCCCCCTCCGTGGCTTACTGTGTGTCCATACGGGAAACAGGTTACTGAGGAGTGGATTTCTGGGCCGTCGGCAGTGTGTGCAGCTCTCCCTGGTTCTGGGGAGCTCAGGCAGCAGAGGTACCTGGCAGGAGTGCCTTTTTGCGTTCCTCTCCGGGGTGTGGCTTCGCTGAGACCAGCCGACTTTGGTGCTCTGTCAGAACCCTTTGGCCCTTCTTGGCCTTTGCTTCTTTTGCCACAAAACGAAGAGATTGCATTAAGCCCTCTGGAATGAAGTCTGTGACCTCCTGCACTGGGCATGTCTCTCTGCTCTGGGGCTGGCTGGGCTCCAACCCTGCCTCCGGAGGAGGGAGCCACCCTGTGCTGAACCCATGATCCGTGTGCCGTGTGCCGGCTCTAGCTGAAGCTGCATCACCATGGATGGCGTTGTGTTTCGTTTCTCCAAAGTTCTCGCTTTCAGCTTGTCTTTTTTGTCCTCTGGGTGTCAGGTCTCGATCGGGGTACTGAATATAACTTCCGAGTGGCTGCTCTAACGATCAACGGTACAGGCCCGGCGACTGACTGGCTCTCTGCTGAAACCTTTGAAAGTGACTTGGATGGTAAGAATGGTGGGAGCGGCCCGCGGTAGGCTCGGCTGTAGCCAGGCAAGTCAGACTGGAAGGCCGCAGAGTGGGCGCACGTGGCTTCACCCTGTCAGCTCCAGGGTGTTTGGCTGCAGCAGGGCCCCTGCAGTGGAGTTTTACAGTGGCCCTCAGAGAACTGTCCCTTTAAGCAGAACCGGAACAAATGAAACGTGCAGGTGCTGTCAGTCGGGTGTTTGGCTGAGGCCTTTAGGTGGCTGCATGAACTAAAACTTCAGGTAGGGCCAGGTGAATCGTGCCTTGGTTAGAATGGGACTTGTTTCCCCAAGCGCTGGACACCTGCCTGTCTGTTTGCCTGTTTATTCAGGTAGGAAGTACACATGCGTGTGTGTAGGTAGCACCTTTGTCAGTGACAGGTGCCAGAGTTCTTATTGTTAAGTCTCAGTTTACAAAATGTTAAACTACGGTCATAGTTTATGCCTTGACTGTGTGTAGGGAGACTGTAAATTGCCACCTCTTTAATTAAGCCTCTTAGTTCTCTACCAGTTCGATCCATTGGAACTCTCAGATTTCATGTTTTCTGACTTATCGTGTTACGCAGTGGAGTCCATAGTTGGTACCATTGCTGTGATACGATGTTTGGTCACCTGCTCGTTACAGGCTTCTAATAACTCGGTGTTAGGCCTTCCTCTTTGCACCTGCTGGAGGCTGGGAATGGGCCACAGGACCAAGAGGAATGCACAGCTTTTGAAAGATAGTTTGTTTTCCTGCCGTGGACAGAGGTTCTAGGATCTCTGTGTCCCCTCTTTCAGAGTAACATTGCAGTGACTTGTATGAGGGGCTCTGGGATGGTTCTCTTCCTAGAGTGCAGGGGAGGCATCGACCCCGTTCCCTGCAGGTTCTCTCTGAACTCTAGGGCGAGCTTGAACACCATTCCCCAGCGGCGGTCAAGTGTCCTAAGGGAATGGAGGTTTCATTCGGCTTTTCTACTTTCCTTCCCAGAAACCCGTGTTCCCGAGGTACCCAGCTCTCTTCATGTCCGCCCCCTCGTAACTAGCATCGTCGTGAGCTGGACGCCGCCTGAGAACCAGAACATTGTGGTCAGAGGCTATGCCATCGGGTATGGCATTGGCAGTCCCCACGCCCAGACCATCAAGGTGGACTATAAACAGCGCTATTACACCATCGAGAATCTCGGTACGTGTGCCAAGTGCAGGAAGTAATTGTGTGGGGGATTTCTCTGTTGTCACTTTTTCCTGAGTTGTAATCTTATCGTTACAGGAAAAAAAAAAAAAAAAAACCATAAAAGTGGTACAAAGACTTCTCATGCATTCTTAATGCACATTTCTCAAAGGCTGACGTTTAACCATGCTTGCTTTCAGTCTGTCTGTCTGTGTTTCTCCCAGCCCAGTTGAGAGAGAGCTGCAGACACGAGGACTCTGCTGTTAGTGTTTTAATGTCGATGTCAGAGGGCAGCAGTAAGACGCTGTCTGAAGAGTCTGTTCCCATTTTGCCAGTTTTCACACAGATGTCCTCTAGGATGAAAGGAAACATGTTTTCTGGCCTTAGAAAACGTGGCGTTTTAGTTAACACCAGTCAACTTTCCTTGCTAAGGAGCAGTGCCTGGGTGGTTTTCTTGACTTTGGTAACTGACATTTCCTGACAGAACAGGCCGTTTCTGTTTGGTAGCACGCTCCTTAGTTTAGACTTGTGTGTTATTTCCTCCCTGCACTCAAGGTGCCCATCCCTGGGAGGTGCGTGGAAGAGCCAGGTTCGTGCCAGGGCATGGCATCAGGAATCACACGGTAGTCTGTTGGCAGTGACGCTGACTTTTTTTTGAAGATCTGCTTGTTTATTTGAAAGGCAGAGTTATACTGAAAGAGAAAGAGAGAGAGAGAGAGGTCTTCCTTCCGCTGGTTCACTCCCAGAATGGTGGCAGCAGCCTGGGCTGGGCCAGGCCGAAGCCAGGAGCCTAGAGCCTTCTTCAGGTCCCCCACGTGGGTGCAGGGGCCCAACACTCGGGCCATCTTCCTCTGCTTTCCCGGGTAAATTAGCAGGGGGCTGGATTGGAAGTGGAGCAGCCGAGACACAAACCAGCGCCCATATGAGATGCCAGTGCCACAGGCAGTTGCCTTACCCACTATGCCACAGCGCCTGTCCCTAGTGACATTAACTAATCTGTTGATCAAAACAGTGGGTAAAACTGCCGCCTGCAGTGTCGGCATCTCATTTGGTTGCTGGTTCATGTCCCGGCTGCTCCACTTCTGATCCAGCTCTCTGCTATGGCCTGGGAAAGCAGTAGAAGAGGGCTCAAGTCCTTGGGCCCCTACACCTGCGTGGGAGACCTGGTAGAAGCTCCAGGCTCCTGGCATAGGTAGCTTGTGGAGGAGATACCTTGAGTCTTTGTAAATTTCCTGTTTTGCATCACACTTTCACGCCCTAGTTTTAGCATGTACAGTAGCAGTTGCTGCTACGGTGTTTCCCTCATTCCGTATCTGTTAGCCTTCTTGAGCGAGGAAGAACTCTCACAGGGAGGAAGGGCAGTGGTGTCCTCTGTAGGAGCTCTCGTGCCCCTTCGACGTCTCCTGTCTGCAGCTCGTTCCTCCTTGTGAGACGCAGTGAGGGGCTCCAGCCCCATCTGATACTTTCCCAGCCTCAGGCCTAGAATCGGCCACTTCTCCAAGGAGCGTTGGTTTCTTTTATGAAAAGTGACGTCTTAAAGTTTCTACTTCATTTTATTTGAAAGGCAAGGAGATAGAAAGATCTTCCACCCACCGGTTCACTGCCCACGTGCCTTCCACAGCCGGGGCCAGCCGGGCCAAAGCCAAAAGCCTGAGACTCAGTCTTCTCTGGGGGTGTCAGGGACCCGAGTGCTGGAGCCCCCCAGGTGCACCTCAGCAGGAGGTAGGATCAGAATCCAGCCAGGTGCCGGATTCTGACGCTGAGGGGTGGAAGGCACGAAGAAGGGGAGAGAGAGAGAGCGAGAGAGCGAGAGTGAGTGAGCTTCCATCCTCTGATTCTCTCTCCCCGAGGCCCGCAACAGCTGGAACTGGGCCAGACCAAACCCAGGAGCCAGGAATTCTGTCCAGGTCTCTCACAGAGGAGTAGGAACCCAAGTGTTCACACCACTGTCTGCTGTCTCCCAGGCACATTAGCAGGAAGTTAGTTTGAAAGTGGAGGCAGGACTCAGTCCCAGGCACTCTGATACAGGATGTGGGTATCTAGGGTGACAGCATAACCCACCATGCCACAATACCCACCCCTGACCTTTACTCTCTACCGTGCAAAAACAGACCCAAGTACAGAGTTAAAACTATAATGTTAAAGAAAGCATGGCGGGGGTGGAATCTTTAAGACTTTGGAGCAGGCAGGGACCTCTTAGGGTACAAAAAAAACGTAAAATTTAAAACTTGATTAACTGGACTTAATTAAGTTGAAACTTCTCCTTTTGGGAAGACACCAGTAAAATGAAAAGCCACAGACTTGGAGAAAAGAGCTGCTGTTGAAATAACCTAATAAAGAATGTGAGTCCCGGCCGGTGCTGCGGCTCACTAGGCTAATCCTCCGCCTGTGGCACCGGCACCCCGGGTTCTAGTCCCAGTTGGGGCACTGGATTCTGTCCCGCTTGCTCCTCTTCCAGTCCAGCTCTCTGCTGTGGCCCAGGAAGGCAGTGGAGGATGGCCCAGGTCCTTGGGCCCTGCACCCCATGGGAGACCAGGAGAAGCACCTGGCTCCTGGATTCGGATTGGCGCAGCTCTGGCCATGGCGGCCCATTTGGGGGGTGAACCAACGGAAGGAAGACCTTCCTCTCTGTCTCTCTCACTGTCTAACTCTGCCTGTCAAAAAAAAAAAAAAAAAAAAGAATTTGAGTCCTAAAAATACATAAAAATTCTTAGTACTGAATTGGAAGATGACCCAGGGGAAGACACAGGCAGAACATTCGTACGTACACTGTACTAAACGTGTGAGTAGGACAGCAAGCGCATGCGAGGATGCTCAGTCCCGTTAACGTAAATTAAATACAGATTAAAACCATAATGCAATACCGTGATCCTCCGCCGTAATTGCTAAAGTTGGGTTGACGACGCCAAGCACCAGCAAGGACGCAGAACTCCACTCCTCAGATTCGTGTGAGCACGTCTGTGCTGTGACCAGTTTGGAAAACAGTTTGGAGGTTTCCTCAGCGATCCTGCTCCTAGATGTTTAACCGGGAGAAGTCGAAGCACGCGTCCACGTGAGGACTTCAGCGCGGGTGTTTGTGTTGACTTTATTTACAGTAGCCCCAGAGGAGAAATCTTAACCGCTCTCTATCAGTAGGGAAACGGCAGACGCACATAGTGGAACACTGCTCAGCGATTGAAAGGAACAGGCTGTCGATACGTGGGCCAGAAATGAATCTCACAGTCGTGCTGGGCAGCAGCAGTCAGGAGAGTGGTGCTGTGTCACCACATCTCGTGGAATTACAAAGCAGGCAGGCCTGCCCCTGGCAGCGAAGCGAGGTCAGCGCTGCGCGGAGCCAGGGGCCTTGGGATTTGGCTATGTGGGCACAGGGGACTACGTGGAGTTTTAGAGGTCTTTATCTTGATTGTGCTGGCCGTGCTACAGGTGGATATATTTGTTAAAACTTACCAGTATACTTTAATGGGTCCATATTATGTTTGGAAAATACACCCCAGTTGATCTTCAAAAGAGAATTTCAGCTATGTTTCTTCATAGGGAATGAGTTTGAGTAGTTACAATTACTTTGGGATTATCATCACAGGTCTTTCTCTGAAAGACTTCTCTTTTAACTCAAAGTCTGCTCTGACGAGATGTTTCTTCTGATCATTGCTTTGTAAGCATTTTTCCTAAGAAGAATTCCAGGTGGCTGGCAGGTGAATTCCCGCACCCTCTCTGGAAGGCGCGAAGCAGTGGTTGAAGTCTGGACTCACAGACAGTGCAGTGTTCTCGTTTTCACTGCAAGCAGCAGCGCGGCCTCCCCAGGGAGCTGTCAGTCCGTCAGTCGTGGGAGAGCTTTGCCGGAGGGATGCTAACGTTGTGTGGTGACCAGCGGCACCTCTTCCTCTGAAGAGAACATCCTTTGCGTTGTTGACAGGACACGGTCTCTGACCTTCAGGTGCTTCCCATCGAATGGGAGAAGCAAAGTAAAACACGAGTAGCAGTGGGGCAAGTTGAAGTGCCTCAGAGAGGGGAGAACTAGCAAGACACAGTAGCGCAGTCAGGGTGGAGCTTCGAGCTTCAGAGATGGGCTTGGGAGGTCTCGAAGCACGGAGGCGAGGAGCGGCACGTGTGCTGACGCTCTGAGGAAAGAGCGCCTGTACCAAGTCCCAAAGGAACTTAATCTGGGGCGAGCAGATTCCCCGGGACACCTGCATCCCACGTCAGAGGGCCCGGGCCTGAGGCCCCGCTCCTTTTCCAATCTGGCTTCCTGCTAATGCTCACCCTGGGAGGCAGCAAACGAAAGCTCAAACATTTGGGTCCCTGCTACCCCCATGGGAGACCCAGATTGCATTCCTGGCTCCCGGCTTCGGCCTGGCCCAGCCCCAGCTGTTGTGGGCATTTGGGGAGTGAACCAGCCAATGAATCATCCGTGTCTGTGTCTGTCGGTCTCTGCCTGTTAAGTAAATAATTTTCAAAATTAATTTGGCGTAAAGTAAAAAAGGTTGAGCTGTGTCCATCAACCTTGGGTAGATGTCGGGTGTCCATCCTGTTGAGTAAGAAGCAGGTCAGAGGTGAAGTACGTCTGCCTGTGGAGTGGATCCCGTATCCAGCTGTTCCCAGGCCTGCAGATGTCCTCCCGACCCCACTGGTCTTCAGTTCTGTCTGACGCGGAGCTCCAGTGCCTCCCCGTGTTGCCCGTTAGTACCTGGGGAGCGGGCGGACCTCCCGGCGAAGCAGCTGTTGGAAGCATTGAAGGAACCCCGTTTTCCAGGCTTCCTGCTTTGCCGGGTGCCGGTGGCTTAGGTCTACTCTCCCGGAACCCTTCCCGGGACCCAGGTCTTCTCTTCTGAGGCTGCGCTTCAGGTACCCTTGCCACCCTCACCCGGGTCAGGCGTGTGCTGACCCACTTCCACTCACCTGGGCGCCTCGCTCCCTCAGTCTGGGCAGCAGGGTTCCCTGGATCTCGGGGGCAGTGTTTCTTTCACTCTTCTGCCACAGCCTCATCTCCAGGCCAGAGAGATCCCGGGCACAGCCAGCCCCTGCTCCACATCTCCCCACACCCCCAGCCAAAGCCGCGCACCAGATCGGAAATTCTCTTTTGCATTCCCCTGCAGTTAAGGTTATGCCCAGTCACCCCTGAGTATCAGAATTCTGTGGGGAGCAGGTTGTAAAAGTGTTCTCGACTTGTGTCTTTCTGCCAGACCCGAGCTCGCACTATGTGATCACGCTGAAAGCGTTCAACCACGTGGGCGAAGGCATCCCCCTGTACGAGAGTGCCGTGACCAGGCCTCACACAGGTACAGTTGCAGCCCGCGGCGCCTGGAGGCGTCAGTGGCGGGAGGAGCCTGTGGCAGCTGAGGGTGCGGGCTGCGAGCGGGGAGGCGGGCCTTCAGCGGGGAAGGTTCTGTCCACTCTCCATTCGCTTTTTGGAAACACGGATCCTGTCACAGAAGCCGTTCTGTGCCGGTATGTGTGTGGGTGTTTGGGCATTAGGACCTAGAAAGCGTACTTTTTGAGCGACTCAGTACTGGCTTCCCATCACGTGAGCCCGTGAGTTGCCACTCAAGCTGGTGAAGAGCTGCTGGGTCCTCTGTGTGTCGAGGACTCCCACAGGCCACAGGGGGCGGCAGTGGGGGCAGTTGGTGGAGCTAGCATACGGAGGCAGGGGCCCTGTGCACTTGCTGTGAGACCAGGTACCTACTGTTTAGTCTTTGAATTATCTCAAGCTAACCTACATATAATGTGACATTCCTAAAGGTATACAAAACAGCTGATTTGCATCCGGTGGGGAAGCTCGTTGAGTAAATGTGTTAAAGTCCTGTGAAGAATGCTAACAGCAGAGATCGTTCCCTCCCTCTGTGTCCCAGAAATCGGAGTCCGCACCATGTCCCGGGTGCTTTGCGTGCCGAGCACCCTCAGGTGTCACCTCTGCCCGCCTGTGTACGCCCTGCTCAGGCCGTGCTCCCGCTGCACGCCTGGCAGTTCTGGCCTGTATGCTCAGGACTCGTGTAGAAAGAGCATTCGTGTTTCAGAAAGGAAACCAAAAAAATAAGGTCAAAAAGAGAACAGTTAGCATAAGTAGTCCGCTGCCTGCTTAAACTAGCCTGTGATGGGGAAAGGTTGAAGTGACTCTCTCACAGCTCAGAAGTGACCTGCTGTGAGAAGTGCACACACACACATTCCCAAGTCGTGGACCCCTTAGCTTTTCCAAGAGTTGGTCTATACAGAGAAACGTTCCCCAAGTATTCTGATGATTTCTGCCCCAACAGGTCATTTTCTGTAGCTGATTGGTGTGTGTCCCGATGGGCTTCGAACAAGCCCCCGATCCCAGTGTGCGCCGCTCCTCTGGTGGTCCTTGTCTTCACCGTGGAGGAGTGGGCAGACGGGGACAGTTCCACTAGCTCGGCAGTTATCCGTAAACAAAGCCCGTGCCGTGCCGGGTCTGAGTTAGAGGAAGGCCTGGACTTGAAGTAAGGCCTTAGGAGCCTGAGGGCTGGGGAGGCCCAGGTGGGCCGCTGCTCCTCGGAGCGCCTGCGCTCATTCCGGCCCTGTTGGGCGGTGCCGCTCGGCGAACATGCTGACTGGGGATGTGCAGCGCAGCGGATAAGAACTGTGAAGTTCAGGAGTCTGCGTCCCGCGTCCCCACCCTCGGTGGGGCCTCCTAGTCCAGTGGGAGTCAGCATGCTTTTCTCAAGGGTGGCTGGTGCCGGGCCGCCTCCTGTTGACTTTAGACCCAGGGCACAGAGGGTCCACTCTGACTGCGGGTACCAAGGCCAGGCCGAGTTGCCCTTGGCCGACACTCGGGACTCAGGCCTTCAGTGACGGGCCCTGGTGACCAGGGTCCCAGAACTTGAGCCACATTCACTGAAGTCTCAGGACAGACCAGGAGCTCCGGGCGCTTGCTCAGAAATTATACCCGGGGTTTAGAAGCGGTTTTTGTCTTTTCCTGATCCGTTTTGGACAGGAGGTAGAATTTTCAAGTGGCTTTAGAAGAATCCAAGTGTGAATGATCTTGTATAATCACTGGATTAGCACGTCGTACTGTGCCGCAGTAGAGACTATGGTTCGTCCTGCTCCTGTCAGTATTTTCCTGGAGATTTTCCCTGAAAGAACACACGAGTGGAAATACTCCTTCCAGTGAATAACGTGCATCGATTAACTCTGGATTTTCTTTCTTTTTCTCCATTTCTCACCTTTCATTCCATTATATCACCCTGCATTTCCCTTTTCTTTTTGTTTTTTGTTAAAAATGCCACTTCCCTGTTGAAATTCCTTTCTACCCAGACACTTCTGAGGTTGATTTATTTGTTGTTAATGCTCCATACACCCCAGTGCCAGATCCCACCCCCATGATGCCTCCCGTGGGAGTTCAGGCTTCCATCCTGAGTCATGACACCGTCAGGGTCACGTGGGCAGACAACTCGCTGCCCAAACACCAGAAGATCACCGACTCCCGCTACTACACGGTGCGGTGGAAAACCAACATCCCGGCAAACACCAAGTACAAGGTACGCACACGTTCACTCTGGGTGAAGACAGCTAGTCCTTGCTGCTCTCTGCATTTTAAAGCTCTGGATTTCATTTTCTCCCCAGAATGCAAATGCGACAACTTTGAGTTACCTGGTGACTGGTTTAAAACCAAACACCCTGTACGAATTCTCTGTGATGGTGACCAAAGGTCGAAGGTCAAGCACGTGGAGTATGACAGCCCATGGAACCACCTTTGAGTTGGGTAGGTATCACCTGTCAGGACTCCTCTTCCTCGCAAGACAGGAGAGCCCCGGGGGCTGCAAGTGCTGCGCGTGTTCGGGGTCACGAGGCCTCTCCTCGCCTGCCTTTGCCACCCGAGAGTGAGTGGACGTGCGTACAGGGCAGAGTGAGAGCAGCGGTTGGTATTCTTGTCGTCACAGTGCAAGGACAGTAGCAGATGGCAGGGGTGTACAGTGCAAAGCACACTCGATTTTAGCAGTGAAGAGACGCGGGTGCCGCCCCAGGTCAGCCGTCTGCTGGCTGTGCGGTCGCGAGGTCGTCCACTCTCCCAGCTCAGAATCTTCCTCTCTGACGGAGGGGGACAGTCCCTGCCTTTGCTGCTTTGTAGAGTTCCGTCAGCAAAAGATGGGGAGAGCTGGGCAAGCGTGTGGTAGTTCCAGACCCCGAGGTATGCGTAAGGGGCTGTCGTCGTTAATCCTGGAAACAGGGAGACGTGACCGCCCTCGACCACGCAGCCGTCAGCGCCGTGCTGGTGGAGCTGCCTGGTGGCTTTCTTGAGCAACAGTGAGTGACTTGTAAACTCCCTCTTGGGTTTCTGTTTGAGCAGACGTGAGAGAGAAGTTAAGGGGAGAACAGCCTCCGGGTTGCAGCTGCCGATGCCTTGTGCCCACTTGTAGACCTTCTGCCTCCCCTGGGGCTGTCCTCCCATGGACAGCAGTCGCTGGGAGATCTTTGTCCAGCCTGGCCTCCCACTTCCTTCTCTTCTGCTTATGCGTAATGAAGAAGTGGGATTACGGGCTCTCCACAGCTGGAAGGGCCCTGCTGTCTGCCTTTCACGTGGAGGTGTGCACTGACAGCCATGACCAGAGCTGCATTTGGAGAGCTCAGAGGACACAGGAGGTCAACGGACCTCGAGTTTGCTTCCTCTGCTGGTATAAGGATGGCTCTCGTTCCAGCCCATTGGCGTCTTAGGATGTTTGCACCTCACCAGGCTTCCTTCCTGTGTGCATTCCAGTGTTGAGCAGAGCAGGGTGAAGTTAAGGATGTATGTAATCCTTGTAAGTAAGGACATATGTGATCCTGTTTCTCTTGCAGCAGCAGATCTCAGCCCTCACGTGAAATCGCTAGCAGAACACCACTGTTCGCATTTCACTGGGCTTGCTGTTGCATGAACAGCTTTATTGAAGAGTGACAGCCTCAGTATTTGACAGTGTGGTTTCATTTATGAGTCCTTTATTCTTTGAGGACATAGGGCTTCTAAGGGTCTCCTGTGCTAGACCCTAATGGAGTTCCAGCCCCTGACTTTGGTCTGGCTCAGCCCTGCCTGTTACAGACAGTTAGGAAGCGAACCAACCATGGCGTGAGAGACACCTGTCTGTCTTACCCCTACCCCGTTACTCTGCCTTTCAGGTAGATGAAAATTAATGTGTTTTTTTTTTTTTAAAAAAAGGAAGGTCATATTGGGTTGAGACAGCCAACTGTAAATGAGAGAGAAAACTGCTTTACACTTAAAAGTATTCTAACAAAAATACTCCCGACAGAGGGAGAACAGCACCTGGTGTTGGTTGTCCTGGTCTGTGAGCCGGGTGGTGGCTGCCCCTCAGTGTAGTGAGGTGCTGTTGGCACAGTGCCCGCCTGGCTGGCCCGTGCACCCCGACTCCCAGCTGAGCTGCCAGTTCTGTGTATTTTCTCAGTATTAGATATTTTCTTCTTTTTATTGGATCTGATTTTAAACAGACAGAAGCAGGCCTTCTCTTGTCTGCTTGTACACTTTGTTGTGCCTTTCAGGTGGGAAGGGTTGAGGAAATGGTGAATTGAGTTGAGATGGACAGGAGTTCCTGAACGTGTTGTTATTTTGCAGTTCCTACTTCTCCGCCCAAGGATGTGACCGTTGTGAGTAAGGAGGGCAAACCCAGAACCATAATTGTGAACTGGCAGCCTCCTTCGGAAGCCAACGGCAAAATTACAGGTAAGCGGTCTTTGCACGGGCATCGCTCTGGGCCCCGGGACCCTGCCTGGCCGGAGCATCTCAGGAGAGCACGGTGCTGCTGGGAGCGGCGGGAGCGCAAGGCCGACTCCACCGACCTGTGGGTGGTGCGAGTTGGGACGCTCGTCAGGCTGGAGTGGAGGTGCTGTTGGCCCACGGTGGGCGTGAACGGGCCGACTCAGACCACTGCAGGGTGCACCAGACACCAGCCTTTGGCTCTCCTGGGACCTGGCGCACAAGTTTATTTTCTCTAGGAAACCCGTTCCCCTCTGCCTGAGTGACTGGCTCTGGAGTCGGCCACCCCCTGCCTAGTTCTTCAGGTGACAGCCAGATTCCGCTCTTCCTCCCGGAGTCTAGCGATGCGTTGGGTTGGCCCTTCCTTGGCCCCTGCCTCAGGCTCCCGTGTCCATATCAGAAGTGAAGGCTGGCAGTGGCCGAGGCCCTCGAAAGGAGCTGGGATTTTTCCTGGGGTTTCAGAGGACCTCCCACAACAGGGAGGACACTGGCCTTCCTCAGCCTCAGCCTCAGCACGGAGGGAGCCTGGCGAGGTTCCGCTGCCAGCGCTTCCCTGGCGCCCAGCTGCACTCCACGTGTGCGGAGTTCCTCTGCGTGCGAGAGGTGGCCTGAGCAAGTGGGAAGGAGCCCCTGGCACTGTCCTGCTCTGAGCTGCAGGAAGACTGCCCCCGTGGACGTTGGTCTCTGGTGAAAGAATCACTCCCCGCTTGATCTGGGTTAGAATCTGACCTTTCAGAACCAGTGAGGATACAGCCATGACTTGTTGACGAGGTGGGCTTGCCATTGGCACTTCGTGCCTCTGCGGTGGGAAGGGAGCGCCCCCTGGTGGAAGTACAGCCGACAGCTTCCCATGGCTTCCCCTGCGCCACGTCTGTGAGAGCCTGGCAGGTTGCTGCTTTTCTCCTAGGAGCTCAGCTTGGTGAGCCCTCACACAGCAGGGCAGCCATTATTGACTTTCAAAACCACTAATTTAGTTGTAGACCCTCAGACCTCATGCTGTAATGTGTAAATGACGTCACAGGCACGCACAGACTTAGTCCTTACGAGACGAAGAGCAGGACTGAGGTCTCTCCCGTTGGCTTCTCTGGACAGGTTACATCATCTATTACAGCACGGACGTGAATGCCGAGATCCACGACTGGGTCATTGAACCCGTCGTGGGGAACAGGCTGACTCACCAGATCCAGGAGCTGACGCTCGACACGCCGTACTACTTCAAGATCCAGGCCCGCAACTCCAAGGGCATGGGGCCCATGTCTGAGGCCGTCCAGTTCAGGACCCCTAAAGGTACTGCCCCGGCTGGGGATCTCTGGGGTCTCTGGTGAGGCTGTGCTTACGCCTGTCGCCTCTGCAAGCACAGGCCATGGGTGACACGCGGGTCCCCAGTGCGCGGATTTGTCCCCACCTACTGACTGCCAGAGCACGGGGCTCCCCACGTCTCAGCCTGACTGTGTGCTGCACCAGTGAGCTTTGGCTGTGGGCCGCTCGGGGCAGGTGAGGTGCAGCGCTCAGTCTGGTGTGGGTCACGCCACAGTGACGGATGCTTCCCTGTCGGCACGCGCAGGCTCCTGACCCGAAAGCTGATGTGTACGCCTCGGTAGAGAGACGGTGTGAGAGGGGCCTAATACGTAACACCAGATCAGAAGAGGAAGACAAAGGATCAGCCAGGGGAGCTTGGGCTAGTACCCTTCAGCTGGGAACCGAGTCTCTGGAGCTGTGGAACCTTTGTGGATTTCTTTCCTGTTAGCCGTAAAAGCACGACCTGGATCGGTCAGACGTGGGGGGTTCACTTGTTCCTTTGAACATTCTGCTTGTGATCCTTGCTCTTGTTTTTTCTTCCCTGTGCTCGGCCTGTTAGCGGACTCCTCTGATAAAATGCCCAATGACCAAGGTAAATGAGTAGATGGCCTCTCTCGCCTTTTCTCTCTTTTGTGACCTATTACTGCCTTTTTCTTTTTGTTTTCCTGAAAATCTGTACCATGTGTTGAAAACCACATAATTAATGACCCAAAGTGGAGTTGGGTCCATGTTTGTGGCACACTTGGGGTATCTGAAAAGCTTGGGGGTTATTTAGGAGCTAAATAGCCTGGCAGGGAAAAAAATCGGGCCTGCACCCATAAGATAGTGGCGTTGGTGAGGGCTGGGCTGTGCTCAGGTGACCTGTGGCGGAGGTGGGCATTCAAGTCAGGACAAGGACAGTCGCATAGATTTTCCTATTCATGGCATCCAGAGTTCTCAGTGTCTCCCAGTGAAGCATTAAATCTCCAGCATATAATCCCCTCAGCGAATGCCCCGTCTTCCTCCCCTACAGAAACCTGCGCCACGCGACGTCCTGTGGCTCTCTGACCAGACTAGTGCTTTGTTATGTCGCCAGGAGCTTCATCTGGAGCTCTTTCCCATTTCTTCCCTTGAACACTCATACATGCGGTTATTTTCAAAGAGGGCAGAGGACGGGGACTACTGGAATGGAGACCTGGGCAGCCTGGACCCGGTGTCACCACTCTTGAAGCTGCGAGCTTTTCACTGGAGAAGCCACGGACAGCTGTCCTTGGTGATGGTCAGCTCTGGGAAGCCAGCTGAAGCTGGTGTTCGCTGAGACGGAGCACCGCGAGTCAGTCTAACACGTGCTGTCGTGGTGGAAGAGAAGGGACCAGAAATGCAAGGTCTTTGGACCTCGGCTGACAGAGAGGAGCCGGACCTGAGCTGCCGAGTTTCAGGGCTGTGGAACTGCGTTAGCGTTCAGTGAATCTGTGTTGTAACTGGAGAACCTGCAGACATGCGTGTGCGCAGCGTGAGAATGTAGAAGGAATCCTAGCACGTGTGCACGGAACCTGGGCACGCTCCCTGTCCCTCTCTAGCCAGAGTGTCATTCTTGGTGAACCACAGGACTGCTTGGTATTGTTGGTGTGAGGCCCATCCTTGGAGTTTCTTGTCCTGGTTTACAGCACGGAAACACAAACCAGCCAGTGTGAGGACGGTGTGCTGCCTTTGGGACTTGTTCACCCTGTGCAGCCTTGTGGGCAGATTGGCTCAAGTGTAGCTGTCCTGGTAGCTCCACACCCTTCAATACCAAGAACCTCACAGGTGCTCAGCCATGTGGCCCCTAGACCTCATCACGGCGAAATGCCGGCCAAGGACAGCTGAGAACTAGTTGTGAGAGGAGTCCCGGGAGGGTGTGGGCAGTGGGCAGGGCGGGCCCTGCGAGGTAGCTTCCAGTGAGCCCTGTTGGATCGGTGTGTCCTGGAGCACCGTGCTCTCTGCCTGTGTGAAGCGGGGGAAGCGTCCGTTCCTGGAGACTGCTCTGCGGTGACGTGGGTCGTGTGCACTGGGCACTTCCTACACCTACAGGGGTATTCAGGATTATGGTATGGTTTCCATGTAAGCCCGACAGCTCCATGAGGTAGATGCTGTGGTTAGCCCTGTTTTCCTGGGGAAACCAAGGCCCAAAAGAGTAGCGAAGTCACTTGCCCTAGGACAGGCGGTCATGGCTGGTGGAGCCAGTGCCCAGGTGCAGACAGTCGGCTAAGCTGCCGAGTCAGTCACGAAGGGCAGCTTTTACACTGCGATTCTTGCAGACCTCTTTTCAGGACGAGTGCACTGGGCTCTGGGCTCAGATCGTGGATTGAGGGATACGTTAGCTGTGTTGGGGAAGAGTTCCTTGTATTTGCTTTACCCAAGCAGCTCTTTGGTAGATGTGGAAAAGTGGGAGACCAGGATGAGGAAACATCAAGCTGCCCACGTCCCACATCTGAGTGCTGGACTCCGTACCCGGCTCCACTCCTGACTCCCCCTTCCTGCCCGTGCAGACCCTGGGAGGCAGTGGTGATGCCCAAGGGCTTGCGTTCCCACCACCAGCATGTGAGACCTGGACTGTTGAGTTCTTGGCTTTGGGCCCAGCCCAGCCTCAGCCACTGCGGGCATTTGGGGAGTTAACAGCAGAGGAGTGAGTACTCAGGCACGCATGCCCTCACTCTCGAGTTTAAACAAAAAAGACCAAAAATACGAACTTCTTAAACAAGTGCTTGCACGTATTGCGGGCGACCCCCACAGCCGAGATTGGCAGCCTCGCCGAGAGCGGGTTAGGACAGGGTCCTTTGGGAGCTGCTGGGGGGAGGCCTTGTCCACCCGGGGCTGTCTGCGGACAGGGCAGGAACTGAGAGGCCGGTGGAGCCTCCATTTGCGTTCTTGCTCCTTCTTAGAGCAGGTTCCTGCAGGATTTGAGGGGCGCCTGCAGGCCAGAGCAGCGTGGCCAGTCCCTGGTAGGATGGGAGGAGAGTGCCCCGGCTGGTGCCCTTGGTTCCTCTCCCCAGAGAGGCGACCTCTGCCTTCAGTCCTCCAAGTGGACCTCCAGGCATGGCTCCTTAGGCGAGGGAAACAGCCACGCTCCCACCTCTGGGCAGCAGAGCGACGGTGCGGTCAGAGCCACGGCGCCAGGGGTCCGACTTTCAGATGCCGCGTGGCACAGCAGCCGCGCCCCTCTCTGCTGGGCGCACGGAGCCCGCACTTCCCCGTGGCTTGTGTGCTGCTTCATTTCTCACGGACACGGGGGACTGCACGTGCTCTCTGGGGCGGGGGCACTGCTGACCTGTCACCCTCTCCTTCAGCCTCAGGGTCTGCGGGAAAAGGAAGCCGGCTGCCAGACCTGGGATCCGACTACAAGCCTCCAGTGAGCGGTAAGTGCCTTCCCAGGGCTTCTTGTCCTGCTGTGGGCCTGGGAGGGTTTTGTTGGAATCGGTGTGGTGATGCCTGGCCCAAGCTGACTTGGTTCCTGTTGTTGAATGCATCTAGTGGTGGGCATCTTCTGGCACGACTGCCAAGTTACCACAAGCCCATTCTTGACGGATGCATAAATAAAATCCTCTCCCCACATAGCCAGCCTGAGATGAGCTGGTTCCCTAAGGGACCTGTTACCCACTGCCTCCAGAAAAGAGTTAGAATTTTGCTTTCAAAAGTAAAGTGGCTCCAGAACAAGCTGCAGGAATGTTTGCATCATTAGGTTCTCCCAGCCCTGTTCTTTAGTTTGGGGATTCTAGAAAGTCCCACTGTCAAGGCCGTCCTAAGAGCCAGGGCCTTTCAGTTAGTGAGGACCCCTCCTTCTCTACAGACGGCATCAGTTGTGTTATTTTGCATGTGAAGTTGCGTTTGATGCTCCCGTCACCACAAAGCAGGGAGAACAGAAGCTGTTACTTCCGCAGTACGTGAACAGACCTGGTGGAAAAGGTGCATGCCTGGGGCTGCCCACGCGGGCAGTCCTGGGCCCAGAACCCAGGCTCTCCTGACTGCCGAGCACGCGGGCAGCCCGAGACGCACAGGTTTCTCCACGAGACCTGGGGAGTGGCCAGGTGTCCACAGGAGCCCTTCCTGTGTCTTCACCTCCTTCAGAGGCACGCGGGAGAGGAAGGGTCACTCCTGGAGACTCGCGGGCCACCAGTGGGCAGTGGGGCTCTCATGCCCGCCGTCTGGAAGTAGGAGCCGTGCTGTGCTGCCCAGCCTCCAGGGAAATCCGTGTGTTCTAGAGAAAGCCAGACCCGCACGCGCTGGAAGGAGTTGGTGTGCCCTGGTTCTGGGCCTTGGTTTACAACTTCTCCTTTCTGTGCACGTCCAGGCATGTGCTGGCCACAGCGTCGTGCTCAGTGAGGCTGTGACCGAAGGAAGCATTCTTTCCCTTTCCTTTCTCACGTGCGTGTCTTCAAAGGTTCAGGTTCCCTGAGACAGGCTGCAGGAGCAGGAGGGGGAGCAGACCCACCTCCCAGAAGAGGTGGCAGCTCACGCGGATCTTGACGCACTGAAGGCCGCCGAGTGTCAGAGCGGGCTGGACGGTCCCAGAAGCAGTACAGCGTGTCCGAAGCCCGCCCCCAGGGCCACCCGGCCCAGGGACGGGAAGGCAGAGTAGAGGCAGCCTGTCGGGAACAGAGCACCTGTGCAAAGAAGGAGAAGGAGCAGGGGCGAGCGTGTGAAGCCCGGCAGGAGTGGCTGCGGGCAGGTGCAAGGGAAGCTGGCCACGACGGCCCTGCAGGAGAGCTGTCGCTCCCCTTGACAGCCGCAGGGGAAGCTTTTGTCTGGCTCTGCTGTCAGAGTCCAGGGCAGTTGTGTGAGAACTGCTACTGCCTGAGACGCACAGTGCCCACCCTGCCCTGGGCCTGACCCCACCCCAGGGCTCAGCCCCACGGGGCCTTCCATGAGCTGTCCCTCCCTCCAGGCCCTTTTGTCATCAGTAGCTCAGCTCAGACGCCAGCTCCTCAGGGAAGCTTCTGCTGCCCCCTCAGTCTGAGTCAGCCACGCGGACCCTCTGCACCACAGCCCTTCCCTGATGGGCCACATCTTTGCCGTTCACCACTGCACCTGTAGCCCCTAGAGCAGTGGCTGGCACCGCGTGGCCACCCAGCACGTGCCTGCCGGGTTAGTGCGTGTGCTCAGGCCTCCTCTTCCCCTCAGCTGAATGCGCAAGTTACCTCTGCATGTGTATTCATGAGCGCAGACTGCATTTCTCAAGTGATTTTGTTCATATAATCTCAGACACCTGTGTGGTGGGGAAAAACGGGTTTTGCTGAATGTACATTTTTAAAATGGTTTTGAAAGCTGGAAAAGTGGGTGACTTACAAATGGTGCATCACAGGATGAATTTCTGTCACGTGGGCACCTTTGTCCACGTCTGTCTGAACCTTCGGCCGTTCCTGGCTGGCAGGGAGCCCACCGAGCCCTGCCCCTGGGCAGACCTGTGTGCCGAGCTCCCGCGCAGGGCAGGCGCAGCTCTGTGGCACTTGCAGGAGACAGCCCCACTGTGGCAGCGCCGTGCCCGGCCCGGTGAGGAGTCTGCCGAGGCTGTGCGCCACGGCGGGCACTGCCACCACTGCTTTCGGTTCTCCACGCTCACCGTGTCGCGTTCCCCGGTGCAGGCAGCAACAGCCCTCACGGGAGCCCCACCTCCCCGCTGGACAGCAGCGTGCTGCTGGTGCTCATCGTCTCCGTGGGCGTCGTCACCATCGTGGCGGTCGTGGTCGTCGCCGTCTTCTGCACGCGGCGCACCACCTCTCACCAGAAGAAGTAAGGACGCGGGCGGCCGCGGTGAGGAGTGGCGCGGGGCAGACCGCCAGGGACCCGGGCGGAGCGGTGTCAGGTGCCTTCAGAGCACACGGAGAGTGGCCCCTCTTCCATACACACGGGGCCCTGCTCCTTCATGGCGTCCGGAAGGGACCGTTTACCAAGTCACAGGTGGAGGTAGGGAAGCGGGGCAGGGGTGGTTGGGGGCCGCACTGTCACACTGAGGCCTGCAGGGCCGAGAGGAGGGGCTGCCATCAGAGGCCGGAGGCAGGAGGAGGCAGCAAGAGGAATGCAGCCATTGCAGGGCCAGAACCCCTCCCCTCCCTGACCTCCGGGCCTTTGCCAGAACCCGCTGTCACCCTGCCGTAATGGATGGCGCTCGTTTAGCTCATCCCCAAGTTTCAGAGCCAAACAGGGAAGAAGTATGGACAGAAGAGTGACTGCCGTCCAGCCCCTTGGAGATGGCGCCTGTGCCACCATGAGCCCGACAGGCACCAGGAGTGTGTGCGCCCCCGCAGGCCACGTCGCGGCACAAATGCCAGCAGAGGTGGAAGACCAGAAGCGTCTTATTCTCAATCCAAACTGAAGAATTGGGGGGGGGGGGCAGTGCGGGGCGTTTGGCTTAGTGGTTAAGGCACGGCTTGGGACCTCCGTGTCCCACCACCGAGAGCCCAGGTTCAAATCCCCTTCCGTTCCCAGTCCTAGCTTCCCGCTAATGCGCACCCTGGGAGACAGCAGGTGATAACTGAAGTATTTGGGTCCCTGCTGCTCACCTGGGAGACCTGGATGGAGTTCTCAGCTCCTGGCTTTAGCCTTGGCCCAGCCCTTACTGTTGGAAGCATCTGAGGAGTGAACCAGTGGGTAGAGATTGAGATCTCTGTCTCTCTCTTTTCCTCTCGCTCTTCATAAGTACATTTAAAAAATTTTTAATATATCTGCATGTTGGGGTGGGGATATTTTAATGTTCATTAAAATGTTTTAATGCTCATAAAAATTTCTTGTTCAAGAAATTAGTATTAACCAACATAGCAGTTTTCCAGAGAGTTCAAATGACTGAACTCCCCTGGAGTTGCGGGGCTTATGGCTTATTGCAGAAGCAGGTAGCAAGGGAGTTCAGTTTGTACCAGTGCTTGGTGTAATGTCTTAGACTCCTAAGTGAGAGAGAGAGTCCTTGACCCTGGATTACAGTCAACTCACCTGTCATGTCGACATGTGGACCTGGATCAGAGCTTATATCTGTGTTGACAGTGAGACGTACCACAGGAGGAGATTCCTGCGTTACTCATAGCAAAAACACAGTGTGGACAATAAAAGGACTCAAGTCGTAGTATCCAGAAAGGTCCTAAGAGGAGGATGTTGCGCCATAAAATTCACAGCTTCAGGTGTTGTCATCCATTCAGGTTTGATCTGCCCAAGGCAAGGATACGTGTGTTCAGAAGTGATAGATTCATTCCCAGTGTACAGAGCAGATGCAAGCGACTAACTGCCGCTTGTAATGACTGATGTCACTTTCTGCGTTATGTGATAATTGAAACCTTTCTGCCTTTTTGTGGATTGATTGATTGATTGATTTGAATGGTAGAGCAATGGAGAGGAAAGAGAGCGGTCACATCTAGTGGTGGCTTCCGGCTGGCAGAGTCCCGAGGCAGCACCGGGCATAGCCTAGGGGAGAGACAGGGAGCGCTCATGCCTCTTCTGGTCTCCCCCTTTTCTGGGGTTTCTACCCTGAAGATTTTTGAGAGGTAGAGTGGGAATATATCCAAGTGCTCTTCCCCTGGTTCACTCCCTCGGTGCCTTCAGTGGACCGGGGTTGGTCTGGGCCAAAGCTGGGAGCTGCCTCCCATTAGCAGGAAGCTGGAGTCAGGAGCCAGAGCTGGGATCCAGCCCCTAGCAGTTTGATGTGGAATGTGGGCGCCTTAACCGCTGGGCTAACACCCCCCTCTGTTGACACTCCGTAATGCTGATCACCCCATAAGCCCCATAGTCTGATTGCTTTCTGCCTGCTTAATGTTTCACATGGGCTCAGAATGCACGCAAGCCGCAGCAGAGCGTTTGGCAAGTTGAGCCCCTCAGCGGGTAGCCCCGGCCTCTCTCCCTGCCCAGATGAGAACCACTTAGCCTCACCTAAAGCTTTCGCCTTCGACTAAAGCTTTTCCTCTCACTCTGGTGACCATTCCTCCGCCACCCACCCCCAGCCTGGCAGCGTGCTTCCTCCTGCTTGAGGCCAGCTCTTGTGTTCACCCTGTGGATCTCATTGTCCCGTCTTCCTGAGGCCTGTACTTGCCGGGACCCTCTCTCCGTGTGGCTGTCTCCCCCTCCTTTGGCGCGGCCCTGCGGCATTACGTGTGTGCAGACTTCTTGCATCTTAGCCATGATGATCACAACTCGCCCTCTCCTGCGTGTTTCTGCCAAGGAACCTCTTCCCCTTGCCCACACAATCCCTTGAATCCAGTTGTCCCTTGAATCCACAGGGGATGGCTTCATGGCTCCCTGGCCCCACAGAATCCAAAATCTGCCGGTGTTCAGTGCTCTCTAAACTGACAGCTGTGGCCAGCACCGTGGCTCACTTGGCTAATCCACTGCCTGCAGCGCCGGCATCCCATATGGGTGCCGGATTCTGTCCCGGTTGCCCCTCTTCCAGTCCAGCTCTCTGCTGTGGCCCGGGAGTGCAGTGGAGGATGGCCCAAGTGCTTGGGCCCTGCACCCGCATGGGAGACCAGGAGAGGCACCAGGCTCCTGGTTTCGGATTGGCGCAGCATGCCGGCTGCAGCAACCATTGTGGGATGAACCAACGGCAAAGGAAGACCTTTCTCTCTGACTCTCTCTCTCACTGTCTAACTCTGCCTGTCAAAAAAACAACAACAACAACAACAACCTGACAGCTTTTGCAAAGAACATGCACATTGTCCTGTATCCACTAACCATCCTAGACTGCTTGTAACACTGAACGTGGTGTAAGTCATCTGTAAACAGTTGTGTTGTTCAGAGAATAATGACAAGAAAAAGGCCTGTACATGTTCAGCGCAGATACAGGGTTGTTTTTGTTTTTTTTTTTTATTTGAAAGAGTTACACAGAGCAGAGGTGGAGAGAGAGGTCTTCCATCCGATGGTTCACTCCCCAGTTGGCCCCAACGGCCAGAGCTGTGCCATTCTGAAGCCAGGAGCAAGGAATTTCCTCCGGGTCTCCCATGCGGGTGCAGGGGCCCAAGGACTTGGGCCATCTTCCACTCTTTTCCCAGGCCACAGCAGAGAGCTGCATGGGAAGTGGAGCAGCCGGGTCTCGAACCAGCACCCATATGGGATGCCAAGCGCTTCAGGCCAGGGTGTTAACCTGCTGCACCACAGCGCCGGCCCCAAAGCTACAGTTTTTTTTTACTTTTTTTCTTTTTTTTTTTTTTTTTTTTTTTTTGACAGGCAGAGTGGACAGTGAGAGAGAGAGACAGAGAGAAAGGTCTTCCTTTGCCATTGGTTCACCCTCCAATGGCCGCCGCGGCCGGCGCACTGCGCTGATCCAATGGCAGGAGCCAGGAGCCAGGTGCTTCTCCTGGTCTCCCATGGGGTGCAGGGCCCAAGCACCTGGGCCATTCTCCACTGCACTCCCTGGCCACAGCAGAGAGCTGGCCTGGAAGAGGGGCAACCGGGACAGAATCCGGCGCCCCAACCGGGACTAGAACCTGGTGTGCCGGCGCCGCTAGGCGGAGGATTAGCCTAGTGAGCTGCGGCGCCGGCCCAAAAGCTACAGTTTTTAAAATCTGTATTTCATTTGAAAGGCAGAGACAGTGTTCCCATCTGCTGGTTCGCTCCCCAAATGCCCGCAACAGTTGAGGCAGACCCAGAACTCAGCAAGGGTCTCCCGTGTGGGTGGCAGGGACCCAAGTCCTTGAGCCGTCACCTGCTGCCTCCCGGGGTGCTCATTAGGAAGCAGGAATCAGAAGCAGAGGGCTCTGATCTGTGATGCAGACACCCCAACCGGCCTCTTAACTGCCGAATGCCTGCCCCAGACGTCATCTTGGTTTTTAATACTGTTGCTCCGTGGTTGGTTGGATCCGCAGGTGTGGGACTCCCAGATTGAAAGGGCCGACTCCTTGTTGACACTCAGCTTGTCGCCTGCCTCACCGCCCACACGTGCTTTAGAACCTGCACTTCCCGGCTCACCAGGGTGGCTCTCCACTGACCTCTGTCCTGCTGGAGCCGAGGGCCGTTTTCAGTCTCCCCTGGGTCCCTGAACAGTGAGCACACAGCCGGCCTCTCCCGCTTTCCGAAGCGTTCTCTTCTCTCAGATCCCGAGGCCGCATGTTCCCTTGCACAGCCCCGGCCTCAGATGTGCATCTTCCTGGCCTCGCCCTCTTCTCCTGGGCTCCCCCACCAGGGGACCCCCTGCTCGCCCAGGGCTCCTCCTGTGTGTCTGTCTCTGGCCACGGCCTCCCCGTTCTGTGTGCCAGGCTGTGCACCCAGGCACTGCCTCTGTGGCTCTTTACTATTTCAGGGGCACTTCAGACTCCCTGTATCCAAAACCAGGATTCACAGTTTCTGGTCCGACTAGTCTCTGCCCCATTCTTCCCTGTGTCAGCGGCTTAAACCCAGAACCCTGGCATCATCTCCTACCCTGCTTTTTCTTCTACCACACCCCATTCTGATGCACTGATTGAGCACGCTCTGTTGTTTCTGCCTCCTCCTCCGTCCCCACGGCCCAGGTCCTGTCTGTTCCAGCTCAGTTACTACCACGGCATGCTGGCTCTTCTCCCACCACACACGTTTAAAAAAAAATTAATGTGTGTGTGTATATATATATGTGTGTATATATATATTTTTTTTTATTTATTTGAAAGGCAGAGTTGGAGAGAGGGAGAGAGAGAGAGAGGCCTTCCATCCACTGGTTCACTCCCAAATGGCTGCACTGGCTGGGGCTGGGTCAGGCCGTAGCCAGAAGTCTGGAACTCCATCTGGGTCTCCCATGTTGGTGCCAGGGCCCAAGCACTCAGGTCATCTGCTGCTGCTTTCCCGGACACACTAGCAGGGAGCTGTATCAGAAGTGGAGCAGTGCCCGTATGGGATACTAGCTTGCCGGCAGCGGCTTACCCTGCTCTGCCACAGTGCTGGCCCCTGCTGCCCACTTTGGACAGAGCTGACCACTCTGTCCTGCCTGCAGCTTCCCATGCTTCTCATTGCTCACAAGGGAAGTCCCAGCTCTGGACATTGCTCCAAAGCTCTGTGTGGTCTGGCCCCTGATCCGATCCCCACACTATTTCATAGCGTCCTCTGTGGGGCTCACTGTTCCCCACCCCTCACCACACTCAGAGTCCCGGGGACCTGCACTGCCCTCCCCCTCACCACACTCAGAGTCCCGGGGTCCTGCTGCACTGCCCCCCCCTCACCACACTCAGAGTCCCGGGGACCTGCTGCACTGTACCCACCTCTCACCACGCTCAGAGTCCCGGGGACCTGCTGCACTGCGCCCCAACTCTCACCACGCTCAGAGTCCCGGGAACCTGCATTGCCCCACCTCTCACCACACTCAGAGTCCCGGGGACCTGCACTGCCCCCCCTCTCACCACGCTCAGAGTCCCGGGGACCTGCTGCACTGCGCCCCAACTCTCACCACACTCAGAGGCCCGGGGACCTGCATTGCCCCACCTCTCACCACGCTCAGAGTCCCGGGGACCTGCACTGCCCCCACCTCTCACCACACTCAGAGTCCCGGGGACCTGCACTGCCCCACCTCTCACCACGCTCAGAGTCCCGGGGACCTGCACTGCCCCCACCTCTCACCACGCTCAGAGTCCCGGGGACCTGCACTGCCCCCACCTCTCACCACACTCAGAGTCCCGGGGACCTGCACTGCCTCCACCTCTCACCACACTCAGAGTCCCAGGGACCTGCACTGCCCCCACCTCTCACCACACTCAGAGTCCCAGGGACCTGCACTGCCCCCACCTCTCACCACGCTCAGAGTCCCGGGGACCTGCACTGCCCCCACCTCTCACCACGCTCAGAGTCCCGGGGACCTGCACTGCCCCCACCTCTCACCACGCTCAGAGTCCCGGGGACCTGCACTGCACCCACCTCTCACCACGCTCAGAGTCCCGGGGACCTGCACTGCCCCCACCTCTCACCACGCTCAGAGTCCCGGGGACCTGCACTGCCCCCACCTCTCACCACGCTCAGAGTCCCGGGGACCTGCACTGCGCCCACCTCTCACCACGCTCAGAGTCCCGGGGACCTGCACTGCCCCCACCTCTCACCACGCTCAGAGTCCTGGGGACCGGCACTGCCCCACCTCTCACCATGCTCAGAGTCCTAGGGACCTGTACTGCACCCACCTCTCACCACACTCAGAGTCCCGGGGACCTGCACTGCGCCCACCTCTCACCACGCTCAGAGTCCCAGGGACATGCTGCACTGCCCCCACCTCTCACCACGCTCAGAGTCCCGGGGACCTGCACTGCACCCACCTCTCACCACGCTCAGAGTCCCGGGGACCTGCACTGCGCCCACCTCTCACCACGCTCAGAGGCCCGAGGACCTGCACTGCGCCCACCTCTCACCACGCTCAGAGTCCCGGGGACCTGCACTGCCCCACCTCTCACCACGCTCAGAGTCCCGGGGACCTGCACTGCGCCCACCTCTCACCACGCTCAGAGTCCCGGGGACCTGCACTGCCCCCACCTCTCACCACACTCAGAGGCCCGGGGACCTGCTGCACTGCCCCCACCTCTCACCACGCTCAGAGGCCCGGGGACATGCTGCACTGCTGCTGTTTCAGGGCTTTGCCGTGAGCTGATTTTGCACTGGGATATGTGCAAAATATGTGGCTTCTTTTGTCTCTGCTTAAATACCCCGCTTCTCCCAGATATTTCTGTTGACCTTAGGGCTGGTTTTTCAGAGGTTATCCTAACACACTGGTGTCCATTAAGGTCAGAGCATTTTATTTATTTATTTTAAAGATTTACTTATTTATTTGAAAGAGATGGAGAGAGAGGGAGAACCTTCTGTCTGCTGGTTCATTCCCAGATGGCTGCAACAGCCAGAGTTGGACCAGGCTGAAGCCAAGAGCCAGGAGCTTCCTCCAGGGCTCCCACGTGGGTGCAGGGGCCCAAGCACTTGACCTTCTTCCACTGCTTTCTCAGGTGCATTGGCAGGGGGCTGGATTGGAAGTAGAGCAGCCCAGACTCAAACCAGCGCCCATATGTGATGCCAGCACTGCAGGCAGAGGCTTAACCCGCTGTGCTACAGCGCTGGCCCCAGAGCGTTTTAGAACAATCATTCAGTGTCTGTCTTCCTCACCAAAAGTACCAAGGGCTGCGTAGCCTAACACACTTGGTGAGACGACAGCTGGAGAAGCAGGTGCTGCCGTCACGCCCTAACAGCCCAGCTGGGGTCCTGGTCTGGTCAGAGAGGTCAGTCCTCTTTCTCAAGCCCCAGAACACACCTCTGCTCCGGGGCTGTGCTGCTGCTCCCTGGGAACTGCTAAGGGACCTTCCACGGGAGACGTCAGCCTCTTCACACGCCAAGTAGTCACAGCTGCTTTGGCAACGCCCTGGTGCGGGCTCCTCAACTGGGCTGGAGGGGGCTGTGGGTGCTCTTCCAAAACACGGGTGGAGGGGCTGTGGGTGCCCTTCCCAGACACTGGGGGGGAGGGGCTGTGGGTGCCCTTCCCAGACACTGGGGTGGAGGGGCTGTGGGTGCCCTTCCCAGACACTGGGGTGGGGGGGCTGTGGGTGCCCTTCCCAGACACTGGGGTGGGGGGGCTGTGGGTGCCCTTCCCAGACACTGGGGTGGAGGGAGGGGCTGTGGGTGCCCTTCCCAGACACTGGGGTGGAGGGAGGGGCTGTGGGTGCCCTTCCCAGACACTGGGGTGGAGGGAGCTGTGGGTGCCCTTCCCAGACACTGGGGTGGAGGGAGCTGTGGGTGCCCTTCCCAGACACTGGGGTGGAGGGAGGGGCTGTGGGTGCCCTTCCCAGACACTGGGGTGGGGGGAGGGGCTGTGGGTGCCCTTCCCAGACACTGGGGTGGAGGGAGGGGCTGTGGGTGCCCTTCCCAGACACTGGGGTGGGGGGGCTGTGGGTGCTCGTCCCAGACACTGGGGAGGAGGGAGGGGCTGTGGGTGCCCTTCCCAGACACTGGGGAGGAGGGAGCTGCGTGTGCTCGTCCCAGAAGTGAGTTTCTTGCCGCTGGTTTTTGGTTTTGGTCTTGTACTGGTTTTTCATTTCTGCCTGTGTTTGAGCATCTTGCAGAGAGGCACCTGTACTCCGCCGATCCTTCCTGACAAATACGTTCAGAAAATAATGGCGATCTCTTCCCTCCGTGCCTAGGAAACGCGCTGCCTGCAAATCCGTGAACGGCTCCCACAAGTACAAAGGGAACGCCAAGGACGTGAAGCCCCCGGACCTGTGGATCCACCACGAAAGGCTGGAGCTGAAGCCCATCGCCAAGTCTCCAGACCCCAACCCCATCATGACGGACACGCCGATTCCTCGGCACTCGCAGGACACCACGCCGGCGGGCACGTCCTCGGACGGCAGCACCCACCAGAGGCGGAATTCCTACCGAGGTAGCCTGCCCGGGGCACGCCTCCCCACATGCCCGTGACTCCTCCACAGGGAAGGAAGCTGTAGAGAAATGGGTCAGCGCTGTAGGAGGGACCGCTGGGTCTCTCACTAGGCCTCCCCTCAGCGTTCGACGGCTGGGCTTCTGTCGTGCGTTGCCAAGAGTGCGCGTTGGGACGCCCCCGCTCACAGACGGTGCACCGACGCGTGGCATGGGCGGCGGTAGTCACCCGTGCTCTCAGTGGGACTTCCAGGAGGCGGAATATCCTCCTCTCAGCCGCGGCGTTTGTGGGCCCTGAGTCCCCCAAGAGAGGTTGCCGCTGAGCTGCTGAGCGGCCCAGGGCACACACTGTGGCTGACCTCTGTGTTCGATGTCTAGGGCACGAGTCAGAGGACAGCATGTCTACACTGGCTGGAAGGCGGAGCATGAGACCAAAAATGATGATGCCGTTTGACTCCCAGCCGCCCCAGCGTAAGTAGAAGCTTCCCCCGGCCCATGTGCTGTCTTCCCGTCACTGGGGAGCCGCTGTGAGGGGTCCCGGTGACCCCACTGGGTCCCAGCACAAGACATGGGCCTGGCAGGGCTGTGGCCCCGGAAGGAGGAGCAGCAGGCAGTTGCCATGTTTTGCCGTGGTACTCTTGGCCAGTGTTTGCACATCATGGCAGATAAGCAAAAAACCCATTTCCGCAGCCTGGCCCAGGGCACAGCACCCCTGCCAGAGGGGCCGAGGCGGCCAGATGTCACAGGTGTGCAGGTGCGTGCGCACTGCAGCACGAGGCTCTCAGAGCAGCCTGTGCCGGCCTTGTGCTAATAAGCATCAGAGTCGCTGAGCTCCCTCTGACACCAGCCAGAAGTCAAAATGAGTTCCATATCATGGCTGGAAACCAAAACCCTGGGACAAACCAGTTCTTTTTTTTTTTTTTCTTCTCCCTGAACTACTGAGTGCTCATCCCTGTTCCTGCTTCCCAGAGACGCACTCAGACTTGTGCGGCGTCTCTGTCGGCGAAAGAGAAGTTTAGATGGCCACAGGTGTCCCTCACATGGGGAGGGTGCCCGGGCACCCCACACTTGGGAAAGCCCTCTTGCGCCCCATGAGGGGAGCCCCCCAGCATGCAGATGTCTCCCATACCGCCACTCCCCGACACACAGCACATCAGCTGCTCCCGCCACACACACACACACACACACCATGTAAGCCGTCCCCACACACAGACACAACACAGACACAACACGGAAGCTAATCCCACCACACAGAAGGCGCCTGGTTATAAAGCTTGGCGTGCAGAGTTAGGCCCTGTTCAGTAGTAGGTGGTTTCTCACAGAGTGGCTTACTTACGCGTGGGGTCTGTGAGGAGAGAAAGGCCTTGGCCGACAGCCCCGTGGGGAGAAACTACTGTTTCCCTCTTGTACGGGGAGGTGTGGGCGGGGGCAACCAGCTTGAAAGCCACAAATGCGCAAGGAAATGAACCCATCCAGGGCGTTTGTAATAGAATGCTAGCTTGACTGCTTGCGTTTTTGTTTTGTTTTGTTTTTTGAAACTTGAGTTCCTGCCTAAATTGGCTTGTTTTTAAACTTGTAAAGTTTGACTCCCTCTTCTATAGAGATGCATTAAGGACAGAAGGTCAGTTGTTCTAGTTGAGCTCCTTGATTTTTGGTGCCAGGGAAGCACAGCTCGTGAGTAGTGACGTTACGCCACAGCTCGACAGCAGGGTGGGTGCTCGGTGAAGTCTCGTGATTCAGAACCTGAGCCCCGGTGCCCGGAGTGCACGCTTGCACCCTTTAGGTTCGGAGACTTCCTTTCCAACACCCACGTGGCTACGGGCCTTTTTCAGAACGCTGGGGTCTCCTGCGTTCTGGGTCCTGGCATGAGACCGGAGCCGGGCACCCACCGTCCAAGACGGCCCGGCTCAAAGGGCCTGCTCAGAGCTAGCAGCTCTTGTTGCCGCCTGTGTTCCAGGGGGCCACACTGATGTTGTTTTCATTTCTTTTTAACTATTCAGAAAGACTTCTTGCCGGCCAGGGACCTCCTGAGAGCCGTGGGCCCTGGGCAGAGGAGGGGCAGGCCCTAGCTCAGCCGTGCCACCTGCCTGCTTGTGTGTGGCCAGGACAGCTCAGGGCTGGGACTTGCTCCACGCAGGGCGCCGACTGTCCCTGCAGACAGAGGCGTTCAGGAGGCTCCCTTGCTTAAAGAGACGTCTCCTGTTCCTGGCGTGCGCCCGGCCTGTGTGCCTGTCTGGGAGTTTAAACCTTCGTGTCCACAGCTGCTCCCAAACTCCGGGCTTCTGACTTTGTTTCCTTCTCTGGGGTAGACAATGGACCCTCGTGAAAGAGGTGTTCCGTGTTCCCCAAAAGTCACATGGAGTCTCTGTATGAAAGTCTGTATTTAGCTAAATGCACTAGATGGAGTCCTTAGCCAGTACATGGTAAGGAAAGAAAAAGTTAGTAAAGATACCATTTTGTCATCATATAAATTGTATTTATTTGTTCATTTATTTTGAGTGGAAGAGATCTCCCATTCACTGGTTCACTGCCCAAACGTCTGGAACAGCCGGTGTTGGGCCAGGCTGGAGCCAGGAGTCGAGAACGCCATCTGGGTCTCCCACGAGGCGAGGGCCCGACTGCTTGAGCCATCACCTGCTCCCTCCCAGGGTGCATATCAGCAGGAAGCTGGGCAGGAGAGTGGAGCCAGGCCTTGACCCTAGAGGAGAGTGGAGCCAGGCCTTGACCCTAGGCTCTCCAGCATGGGGCGGGGGTGTCCCCAGTGGTGACCCCACTGCTGTCCACACACCTGCCCCTGACGTGATTTTAGAATGCAGGTGGGTGTGCCTCAGACCCAGGCTGGGAGCAGTGAGACTGCCACAGTCCTGGCGTTCACACTTTTAGTACCAGGTTGGACCACGTAGTTACATTTCATTTGCCTTCCCTTTTGAGATACGAAATCCGGTCAAAGAGCTACTCGTTTATGTGGTGTGAAACCCATAGCATGACTTTCAGCAAATTAAAAAAAACAAAACCAGAATGGATCAGGAGTCATGTACTCCAGGCTCATGCTGGGGGAGACGGATTTCTATCGCTTTAGCGGGACAAAAAATAATAGAATCCGAAGCCATTATTTGTGACATATTCAAGCAGCTGTTCTTAATAACTCGGGTAATCTGTGTTTGTAATGTAAGAATCGCAAATACAGGTAGGCCAGAAGAAAATACTCTTCTGATCCTGATTGTCCCTCCAACGGAACAACCACTGTTAGCGTCAGCATTTGCCCGTGGCCCTCTGACTTTTTTTTTCCACGTGTATGGACACGTGCACAGAGTGGTGCTCATTCTGGGAAGCCCGTGTGTAATGGGTGGCTGCGTGTCCAGACCGCAGAAAGCCGTGGTGTGGGGGGCTGGGTGGGAGGGTGGGTGGCTTTGTTCTGAAGCTGAACTGTGTGTGTCGGTGCAGTGTGTTAAGCCTCTCTCTGTCTTGTGTTCATTCACAGCCGTGATTAGTGCTCATCCCATCCATTCCCTCGATAACCCTCACCATCATTTCCACTCCAGCAGCCTCGCTTCCGCAGCCCGCAGCCACCTCCACCACCCAGGCAGCCCATGGCCCGTGGCCACATCCATGTCCCTTTCAGACAGGGCCAATTCCACAGGTGAGAGCTGAGGGTCGAGCCAGGTGGAGAACCTTCCACAGGAGTCGGCAGGTGCTCGTGGGAAGGGCCTGCCCTCCTGAGAAGAGGGGTCCGGAACTTTTCTCAGTGTGACTGGCGTGTCATGCATTTGTGTGTGACTCGCTCAGGTGTGTGTCGGGAGATCCGCCCCGTCTTCCTCCCTGAGTTCTGAGTGCTCGGTGCAGGTGCCCTGCTGGCCGGGCAGCAGTCACTGACGCCCTCAGCACCTCGTGTTCCGAAGCTTGCCTCTCAGTTCAGCCGCTTTGTTTCTAACATCTATTTCTTCATGATCCCCTAACACGAAAGGAAAACTCTCCCGGGTGATCTCCAGGCACCAGCGGCGACCTCAGCCCTGCAGTCACCCTGGCAGTGGGAGGGTCACTAGGATGCCCCCGGGCACAGGACACCTGCCGTGGAGCACGGCAGGAGTGTCAGGGAGTGAGGCCGCAGTGACCCTGTGCGGCAAACCTGGAGGGCGTGCACAGATAGGAGGTTGCAGTTAAAGAGGACGCAGGCACTCAGGCCCTGTTCGCTTATGCGGAGAAGCAGCCTTGCCAGGCAGTGTGAGGGGAAGAGGAAGGTAAGGGGCGAACGCAGCGAATACGCTTGACCCACATGATTGCAATCAGTTCACACTGTGCCGTTCTGTTTCTCTGTCACTGGAAACCACCTGCTGCCAGTTACTCTGTCACTGTAGAGCTAGGTTTGGGGGTTCCGGAAAGTGAGGGAATCTCAAGTCAGTTCCGTTTTAAAAGACGCTCAAATCGTCATGCTGAAGGATTGGTCACATCCCCTCACTTAAATGTTTGGGCGTTTGTAAATGTTTATTTTTCATCTACTTGAAAGGCAGGGAGACAGATATCTTCCATCTGCTGGTGTGCTCCTCAGATGCCAGCAGCAGCCAGTGCTAGGCCAGGCCAAAGCCAGGAGCCAGGAACTCCGTCCAGTCTCCAGCGGGGGTGGCAGGGGCTCAAGTACTTGAGCGTTACCTGCTGCCACATGGGCTAGATCAGCTGGGTGGGAAGTAGATGGGAAGTAGAGTAGCGGGGACTCAACTCGGCGCTCGGAGTTACAGGTGTCCCAGGCTGTGACGCTGCCTCCACTCCCAGCGTCCTCTGCTTCCCAAGCCCTCACCTGCTGGAACTCAGGTCTGAATCAGGCATTCGCACGACCTCCCCCCGGGTCTGGGCTTGGGGCCTCCTCTAGGGAAGTGATGCACCCAGGAGGGACCCTTCCGCCAGCAGCAGGAGGGACAGTCTGTCCCCCGCCCCACCCTGCCCATGGTCTCAGAACACAGCACCAGCGGCTACCTCCCAGATCTGCTCTTAGGTGTTCTGCCCAATCTGTTCATCTGGTTTTTTTTTTTTTTTTAAGGTTTGTTTATTTAAAAGACAGAGTGACAAAGAAGGAAAGAGAGCCTTTTTTTTTTTTTTAAAGAATTGTTTTGTTTTGTTTGAAAGTCAGAGTTACATAGAGAGAGCAGAGGCAGAGAGAGAGAGACAGGTCCTCCATCCACTGGTTCACTCCCCAGTTGGCCACAGTGGCTGGAGCTGTGCTGATCTAAAGACAGGAGCCAACCCATCTACCACTTTCCCAGGCCACAGCAGAGAGCTGGATCGGAAGTGGAGCAGCTGGGACCCAAACCCATATGGGATGCTGGCACTGCAGGCTGCGGCCTCACCTGCTACGCCACAGCGCCAGCCCCAAGAGAAATTTTTCATCCCTTGGTTCGCTTCCCAGATGCATGCAAAAACCAGGACTAGGGGAGCCAAGAACTCCCTCTGGGTCTCCCACGTGGGTGCCGGGGCCTGAGTAGTTGGCCATCATCTATTCTCTCCCAGATGCATTAGCAGGAAACTAGATGCAAAGTGGAGTAGCCGGGACTTGAACCCGCAGTCAGACACGGGATGCAGGAGCCCCAAGGAGGGGACTCAGCCTGCTGCACCACAGCGTCCGCCCTTGTTTCTCCAGTTTTAAGGCCAAGGAGCCCCACAAACTAGGATAGGGGCTGCTCCGGCCAGTGGCAGGCTCTCCTGAGCGGAGCAGGCCCTCCTTGCTCTGCAGTGCTGGGCTGGGAGAAGCCCATTTCCCACCAAGCCCTCACCCACACAGGCTGGTGTTAGTAAAATCCCGCTCTGTGTGGAGCTAGGCAGAGAGCGGAGGAGGGAGAAGCTAACGGTTTGCAGTATAAACACACGGCTGCTTTGGGACCGCTGCCGTGGCACAGCACCAGCTTCCCGTGTGGGTGCCGGTGTGCGTCACAGCTGCTCCAGTTCCAGTGCAGCTCCCTGGTGACGTGCCTGCGAAAGCAGTGGAGGACGGCCAGAGTGCCTGGGCCCTCGCACCCACATGGGAGACCCGGATGGAGCTTGTGGCTCTTGGCTTTGGCCTGGCCTGCCCCAGCTGTTGTGGCCATGTGGGGAGTGAACCAATGGGTGAAAGATTCTCTCTCTCTCTCTCTCTCTCTCTCTCTCTGCCCCACTCTCTCTCTCCCTCTCTCTCTCCCTCACTCTCTCTCCCACTCTCTCTCTTCTACTCTAACTCTACCTCTGCCTTTCAAATAAATAAAGTAAATCTTTAAAAAAAAAATGACTGGAGGAGATAAAAAGTGGAATTTCAGACCTGGACTCACTGAAGGCCTCAGAACGCAGGCCGAGGTCTGGAAGGACCCAAGTTCCTGCTGCTGGGTTCCCCAGCCTCCGCGAGCTGGAGCTCCGGGAGAGGCCACAGCCGTGGACTCAGCCTGTCAGGGCAGTCCCTGCTCTAGGGGCGTCCGCCTAGGAAGAGCGCTTCCCCTGCGTAGGAGCTGGCCAGTGGAGCTCGTGTTTCTGGAAGTAGGCCAGTGGTGGCCAGCGTAAGGAGCTCCCTCCCAGAGAATGCTGCCTGCCTGGTGCCCTGGGGAGCTGCTCCACCCGCAGCCCCGCCCCATGCAGCTGGCCTGGGCTCTGACTGGTGACAGCAGCCCCTTCCGCCTTCCTTCCCTTGTCCCACCATCTCTGCGGCCCTCAGGTGTTTATGCTCAAGGTGAGGGCCCGTGAGGCAGGCCAGGTAGGCCCTGCCCAGCGCTGACTTAGCATTCCTGCCAGCGCAGGCCGAGCGATCAGGGCGGGAGCCGACCTCCTTGCCCGCTGGCCCAGGATCGCTCCGGGACCAGCAGATCCCCAGCCATGTTGAGGGCTGGGAAGTGGAGTCCCTGGCAGAGCCAGGCACACTTGGGAAGGAGGGGAGGCCTCATCCCAGGGACAGAGCCTCCAGCAAAGGAAGTGGCTACGGCCAGCATGGCAGTCCCCTCAGCCGTGGAGGTGGGGCAGGAGGCCGTCTCCTGCAGACGCCTCGTGTGCCGCTTCCTAAGGCTGAGGCCTGAGCACCAGCCGATGCCTCCTCGCTGGAGAGCCATCTGCCCACACGTCCCGGGCGGCGTTGAGCATGGCGGGCAGCGTAGCTGGGCGTGGGAGTTCTGCCGGCTGGTTCCACGTGGTGGGCCGGCTGCTTGCCCTCCCAGCGCCTGCTTTGTTGCCCTGGGGACTGCAGGGGCTGAGGCGGTAAAGCGTGGAGGAGGCGTGTGTGCCCTCCGGAGAGCTGGGTCAGTCGTGCCGTGGCAGCCGCACGCTGCCCTCTGCACACAGCTCGCAGAGTCCTCAGGAGACTAAGGGGTCGGTCTGTTTTGTAGATGAAGAAACCATCTCAAAGACTCAGTCCCTTTGCCAGATCCACTCGCTAGCTTGCCCGCATTGGAGCCAGGTCTGTCCAGCTCCAAAGCCGGGGCTTTTCCTGCCCCCACTGTCCGCCTCCGACCACTCTGGCCCCTCCTCGTAATCTGAGGCATGTCCTTCCTGAATCTCTCTCCGTTGGATTCATCTGCCCGTTTATTTCTCTGGACCACAGCGCCCTACCTCTGACCTGAGCTTACTGCTCTGAGCAGACGCTGCGCTGTCGCCTGTCGGGTTCTCACTGGCACCCTCTGCTCTGGGACGGCCACACTGTCCCCAGCAGACACGCAGGGCCTGTAGTGCTGAACTGTGTGGCAGTCAGTGCCAGGCCTTGCTGGCAGGGCCAGCTCCAGTCACCCCCAGCCCCCCAGTGACCACACATCGGTGTCCATGAAAGGGCCAGTCTCTGAGTGAGAATTTTCATCTTGTATGCGTATTCATACCTTAACAGACAGTAGTCTGAGGATCTTTTCTCAAAATCAGTGAGGTGTGACCCCTTAGCTATGCAGGTGAGAACATAGGAGCAGCCAGGTTAGGACAGAACTGGACCCGTGAGATTGGTCCGTTCTTAGCCCTGGCCATGGTGCCAGCTCACGTGCCCGGTGCTTACTGAGCTGGCTGGGGGACCCCTAGTGGTAGCCAGCCCCGCCTCCGTGTGTCGTGGAGAACGCTGACGTTGGGCCCCTCCTGCCGCAGAGTCCGTGCGCAACACACCCAGCACCGACACCATGCCAGCCTCCTCGTCCCAGACGTGCTGTGCCGACCACCAGGACCCGGAAGGTGCTACCAGCTCCTCCTACTTGGCCAGCTCCCAAGAGGAGGATTCGGGCCAGGGTCTTCCCACGGCCCACGTCCGCCCTTCCCACCCGCTGAAGAGCTTCGCGGTGCCGGCAGTCCCGCCGCCGGGGCCCCCCACCTATGATCCCGCGTTGCCAAGCACACCGTTACTGTCCCAGCAAGGTGAGTGAGGGCACAGCACTGCGCAGGAGAGCCTCACGGTGTGGCGTGGCCCTGCGCCGGGGTCCGTGGGATCCCCTCTGGGAACACACGGACGGGGGGAGCACTTTCTGGGGGGCAGGAGCGGCCATCTGAATGGTGCTGTCCGAGCAGAACCCTTGCATTAGGCTGCAGGGGCCTGCGTGTGGGCCCCAGGTCCCCTGTGTCACCCACCCACCCAGCCCGTGTGGGTCCTGCAGGCTCGGGAGGGGCCGCCTGGACCCAGGGCTGGGGAGGCCTGAAGGAGCCTCAGCCAGGGAAGGCCACCTGGTGCGGGGAAGTCACTGGCCCAGCTCCAGGTGCAGGCAGCCCCGCCTCGCGTGCCTGTGTGCTCCTCCTCCCTGCTGCTGCCTCCCGGGACGGTTTGTTTCAGAGCGAGTCCGGGGTCTTCAGACTCCGTGGTGTCCAGAATCCCTAGATGTGAGAACATGGAAGATCTGCTCCTTGCGTGGGTTCTGTCTGTCGCTGACACTGAACCTGAGACCAGGAGGGGAAACGCTGGCCTGCAGAGCAATGGTCAGAAAAGGGAAGAACATTTCTGTGGCCTTGCTAGGCGGCTCAGACAGACTGAGAGAGCCATTGTCCTACTTCAGTAGCCTACTGAGCCACGGCGCCGGCCCTGAACGCTGCTTTAGATACTGAAAAATATCACGGCTGGCGCCGCGGCTCACTAGGCTAATTCTCCGCCTTGCCGGCGCTGGAACACCAGGTTCTAGTCCCGGTCGGGGCGCCGGATTCTGTCCCGGTTGCTCCTCTTCCAGGCCAGCTCTCTGCTGTGGCCAGGGAGTGCAGTGGAGGATGGCCCAGGTGCTTGGGCCCTGCACCCGCATGAGAGACCAGGAGAAGCACCTGGCTCCTGCCATCAGATCAGCGCGGAGCGCCGGCTGCAGCACACTGCCCTCGGCGGCCATTGGAGGGTGAACCAATGGCAAAGGAAGACCTTTCTCTCTGTCTCTCTCTCACTGTCCACTTTGCCTGTCAAAAAAAAATAAATAAATAAAGCAGCGTTCAGACACCCGCTGTCTGTGTAAGTGCAGGGAGGCCGGCAAGCCCAGGGTGGCGGCGGCAGGTACAAGCTTTTCAGTATTGCAGTTTTCTTGTAAAACATGAATTTCCCATTCACAAAATGAAAACACTGTATATTTTTGTCTTGAACTGACCGGCTGGCCTCAATCACTTTCCAGAAAATGCCTGAGCAGTTTCTTTGAGTGGTGGCATCCCGTGCTCGCCGCCACGTGCTCCTAGACGGAGTGCTCTGTGCCTGCTTCCCACGTTGTCATGCACAGGGCTGATGGCATGACAGACCATGTGTAGTGCTCCTCCTAGACATGGTCCCGTGTGAACCCACCGCCCCCCCACCCCCACCGCGCACCCTTTTTCTTTTCTTTTCTTTTCTTTTTTTTTAATTTATTTGAGAGGCAGAGCTACAGAGAGGCAGAGAGAGAGAGGTCTTCCATCCGCTGGTTCACTCCCCAGATGGCTACAACGGCCGGAGCTGATCCAGTCCAAAGCCAGGAGCTTCTTCCTGGTCTCCCACGTGGGTGCTGGGGCCCAAGGACTTGGGCCATCTTCTGCATTCCCAGGCCACAGCAGAAAACCAGATTGGAAGTGGAGCAGCCGGAACTTGAACTGGCGCCCATATGGGATCCACTGCGCCACAGCGCCGGCCCCAGTGAAACCCCTTTTCTTAGTGCCAGTGCAGTCCATGACTGCAGGTGGGGGCCCTGTTAGTCCTGCACCCTGCATGGAGGATGAAAATGTCCCCAGCATTCTCAGGAGAGGTGCCGTGTGCTCCTGGACATCCCGCAAGGGCCCGTGCTGTGCTCTGGCCTCCTGAGTGCCCGGCGGCCCTCCCTGCTCAGGACCGCTGCCCTGGGTGTGTGTGCCCCCACGCACCGCACGAGGCCTCGGCCTGGGCGGCCCCCGAGGCCTGACCGCGTCCTTCCCCCTCCCGTCCCCTCCCCCAGCTCTGAACCACCACCTTCACGCCGTGAAGACGGCCTCCATCGGGACTCTGGGAAGGAGCCGGCCTCCTATGCCCGTGGTGGTTCCCAGTGCCCCCGAGGTGCAGGAGACCACCCGGATGCTGGAAGACTCCGAGAGTGTAAGTCCCCACCACCCATGGGCTCACCTGTGGAGCCAGGATCTGTGCCGAGAAACCCCGTCTGCGGTATCTCAGGGCAGCCTCTTAGCTAGCACCCAGGACACCACGCGCACACAGCCCTCCTGCCCGCCCTCCTGTCTTGGGCGGAGCCGTCCACCTGTTCTCCCACCACCAGTCCCGCCCGTGCGTTTTTGGAACTGGAGGCTGGAGAAGGCGCTGGAGTGGCTGCTCTTGCAACAGCAGTCGCAGGCCCCCCGCTGCCCTCTCCACGTCCCAGCTGACACCTCTGCCTCGGCACTTCCGGGCACGAGATGCTGTGGAGGAGAGCTTGGGGCGCAGGCACCAGGGAGGCCTGTGCCGACACGGCAGGGGCCTGGACGTGGGCCTGGTGAGGCCGCTGTGACCCTGGGGAGCGTGCTGGGAGGAGGGGGTTGCGCCACGATCAGGGGCCAGAAGTGGATCTTAGTGCTGTGGGTGTGCCCTCCTACCCGCCCTCCCATGCCAGCCTGGGTACCTGCGGCCCAGTCGTCCGAGGCAGCCCACCTGCCCCCTGGGCCCCCGTCTCTCTGGGCTCTGCTTCTGGACAGCTCCGCAGAGCCTGCCCAGTGACGCTGTTCTCTCGTCCCTAGAGCTACGAACCAGATGAGCTGACCAAAGAGATGGCCCACCTGGAAGGACTCATGAAGGACCTGAACGCTATCACGACCGCGTGACGGCCCTCGCCAGGGCGCGACTCGGAGCCCGGGTCAGAGGTCGTGGGCGGAGCCTTGGCAACGAGGACTTGTACAGAGCACGAGGGGCAGCACGGGACGTGGCTAGCGCAGAGCAGCGGGGCAGCCTCCGCGGGGGCCGGCTCCAGGCCTGGCCGCCGCCTTCCCTGGTCGGCCTGGAGGACGCCTTCCCTCTGCCTGCTGACACCCGCAGGACTGGGCACCATGGGCCAAAATTCTGTGTCCGGGGCAAAGGCGAGGAATGCAGCCTGCGTTTCTCTTTGCTCAGGCCGCGTCTCGGTGCTGTGACTGTCACCCGTGTGGCGTGTAGACATTGGCGTTCATGTATGATTGTATTTTATTTTACCTTCGAGAAAAGAGAAGCTATCGAAAACCCAAGGACGTCCGTGGTGTTCTCCGCAGTGGTTGGCATTTGACTGCTTATTCCAGTTCTGTATGGAAAGTCTTTGACAGTGGGGTTGTTCCAAGGGGTGGGCTGGTTTTTGGTTGTTTTCTGTTTTTAAGCCGAGTCAGTGCATCCTCCGCCAGCTGTTAACCCATCCCTTGGAGGGGCGCAAATGTTGCGTTGCTGTTGGTAAACTGTTTCGTTATTTTTTTATCCTAATTATTAAAGGCCTGTCTTTCTCCTCCACCACTGTGAGGCCGCAGAGCTGGCGGCGAAGCGCGGCTCCTCCGAGAAGGCTTGTTCGTTGCTTCCTGTGCAGTTTCGTGTTGGGGGCGGGTGGGGTGGGATGGGAGGCGGAGGCAGCCGAGGCGCCGGGCCGCCCCGCCCCGGCTGGGCTGTGCTTTCTGTCGGGAGCCAGCAGAGGATGGACGCGTCGCGACGGGCTTTCCTGGCATGTCCCTCTCGGTTGTCGCCACATCGCAAGTGCAGTCTCATTTTGCATCTGGTTTAAAATCCTGCGTGCAATAGGGGGCTGGAGGTTGAGCCGCTTTTGAGCGCCCCCTCCTGGAGGTCAGAGTGAGGCGGGAGGGAGGCCCCTTCCTGCTGCCAGCGCTCGTCCCAGAGGGGAGGTGGAGGCTGAGGGGTGCACCCCCACCCTCTCGCGGCCTGCTCCCTCCCCGCGGCGTTGAGAGCCTCGCTCTCCAGGGTGGGCGGCCGGCTCCAGCCAGGCGCTCAGCAGAGCCGGCAGTGAGGTGTGGCGGCTTCCCCGTGGGTGAAGCAGCCCCGGTACCCAAAGTGACACACAGGCCTGGCCTTCGGGAGGCTGCCTCTGGTCCCCGGGACGGCGTGCGGGGCTTAGAAGAAATCCGCGGCTCTGAGCACCCCCAGGGGCCTCGTGCAGGCCCCCGCCTTCGGACGCGGGTTCCCGGGTCTCGTCACACCTCATTTTCTGCGAGGGGCACTCTTGTGTTTATTGCTTTGGGGCCACGAAGAGTGCGATGCCGGCGTCCTCACTGCACGCCCCCCGGTCCCGGATCCTGGAGACCCCGGGGCCGCAGCCCTGGAGCCACAGGCCTGCCCGGCGCCCACCTCGCCTCTGCCCAAAGAACACGCTCAGTATTGGAGGCGCCCCCTCCGTGCCCCCCACTGTTACCTCAGGGCCTCGGGACCTGGATACTGCCGCAGAGTGGGGGTGGGGCGGGGTGGGGGTGGGAACCTATTTTTAAATAACTGTTCAAAGCTGGGGATTTTTTTAAACTAAGAAAAAGGAAACCTATTCTGTATTGCACCTTTTCACAATTTAATACATTTTCTTAACATTTTCCTGTGACTTTTGGAACTAAACCATCGCGTGTCTTGTGCTGTCCCGGTCGGTCGCGCTGCCTCAGCCGCTGCCTGGGGGCCGCGGGGTCCTTGCCTCGCTGCCTGTGGACGGGGCGCGGGGCGTCGGGACGCGTTTCTATACACACTTGTTTGGCCTTTTCTGTAGTTGATGCTGTAAACTCTATGGCTTTTAAAAAAAGAGAGAATTTCATGTTTTTATTTAGTATTGGAAATCCAATACACTTTTTTTAATCCAGTCGAACTGTGGTCTGGTCAAAGAGTTATTTTCCTTTCTCCGAACCCTGGGCCTCTCTGGGTGACACCCCCGTCGTGAAGCCGGGTGTTCTAAGGGGGACACGGGGAGGGGGTCTCAGGAGGTGAACTGACCAACCCCCGCCCCCGGGATGAGCCCCGTCCCTGCCCCCAGCCTGTCGCCCTGAGGAACCAAGGCCACACCGGGCAGTGACGGGCAGCCCCCGTGCCAGGCGGTGAGCCCTGGGGCCTGGCCTTCCTGCTCGTGGCCCACCGCTCGTGGCCCACCGCCCGTGGCGCCGGACACTGGAGCAGGGGTCTGCAAGGAGACGCCACGCCTTCCCGAGCCCCCCACCCCCACCCCGCTGCCTTCACTCCCGGATGGCCGTGGGCGCAGCAGCTGCAGACCCTGCGAGGCTGGGCGGGAGCACGTGGGCGGTGCTCCGCTGTGGCCGCGCGCCCACCCTCCTGCAGCCCTGGGGGGAGGCTCCTCACAGGGCCCGCGTTTGTGCTTGTCCGTGTGAACCTCGCGGCACCAGGCTCCAGCCACAGAAGCCGCTCGGGAACAGCCACCCCCCCCTCCCCGAGTGCTCCTGGTCCCGCGGCCGTGCTGCCCCCTGCATCCCTAGGTGGAGCCCTTGGCTCGCATCTCGGCCTCTGCTGGCTCCGCCCTGAAGTCTGTAGGCTCAGGGAAGAGACAGTGTCTCCTCTCGGTGCCCAGTGCCGCCGCTGGTCTCCTAGACAAGTGCACAGAACACCCCCTCCCCAGGACAAGTGGCCGCAGCTGTCGGGAGACCTCCCAGACCCCGTCCCTCCCTCACAGGGACCCCCGGGTCTCAGGCGGTGGTGCCAGCCATGACCCCACCTGAAGGGTGACAGCGACAGACTCCTAAGAAACGACGCAGACGCCACGTGCCCGGAGCTAAGGCCAGGGGATCTGTGTCAGAGGAGGAAGCGCCTTCCAGGCCACAGCCTCTCCAGTCTGCTGCAGGGCGAGGCGTGGGTTGGCACAGAAGGCAGTGGGGGCGGCAGGGTACTGGTCTGGTGAGCAGGGAGCCAGGAGGCCACCCCCGCACACAGGCACCGGCCGGACTCGGCCACCAGGGACGGGGTGGGAGACGGTAGCTGCGGGGGAGAATCCTGTGACCCGAGAATGTGGCTTAGGGCTGAGCCCCCAAAAGCTCATGGGGCGCACCTGCTGCTCGCTCTGGCGAGAAGGGTCAGGAATTGCTTGAAATACTGCTGGAGCAGGAGGGGGTGGGCACGGGGGGGCTGGCCCCACCACCAGGATGGAGGAGGGCTGTGGCGGGGGAGGCCCTGGTGGAAAGCGCTGGCCATTCTGGAATGTGGCAGTCTGGGAGGCGGCCTGGCGCTGTGCACATGGCCCTGCAGGAGTCGTGGTCACTCCCAGCGAGAGGAGCCGCAGCCAGCCTAGCATGTGCCCTGAGGGCCTTGCTGCTGGCTCTGTGGGGGACCCCTGCATGGACACTGCGTGGCCACGGGAGTCGGCAGGGGAGGACGCGGCCTTGCAGGTGGACCGAGTGGGTTCTGCTCAGCCCCACCCTCATCTGGAGGCAGACTGGCCTCTGCCGCGGGCGCCTCCCCTCTCCGCCTGGGGTCCCCGCCGGCAGGTGCGTGCCCTGGCTAACAGGTGTATCCCGTGTACCGGGCTCCCAAGGAGACATCTGGGAGCCACTCTCCACTCCTGCTTCAAGGCTTCTGTACGCTGCTCAGCCAGCGTTCCCAGAACAGACACCTGTGACCCCTGGCTGTCTCCCAGGGGCTGAAGCCTCCCGCTGCTCGGCATCCCGCGGCAGCCCCTCCCCTGCCTGCCACCAGGAGTCCAGGGCGTCCCCGCTGTGCCCAACCTCCCCCTGCCACCAGGAGTCCAGGGCATCCCCGCTGTGTCCGCCCCTCCCTGCCTGCCACCAGGAGTCCAGGGTGTCCCTGCTGCGTCCCTCCCCTGCCACCAGGAGTCCAGGGCGTCCCCGCTGTGTCCCCCCCTCCCCTGCCACCAGGAGTCCAGGGCATCCCCGCTGTATCTCCCCCTCCCTGCCTGCCACCAGGAGTCCAGGGCGTCCCCGCTGTGTCCGCCCCTCCCCTGCCACCAGGAGTCCAGGGTGTCCCTGCTGCGTCCCTCCCCTGCCACCAGGAGTCCAGGGCGTCCCTGCTGTGTCCCCCCTCCCTGCCTGCCACCAGGAGTCCAGGGCATCCCCGCTGCGTCCCCCCCTCCCTGCCTGCCACCAGGAGTCCAGGGCGTCCCCACTGTGTCCTCTCCTCCCTGTCTGCCACCAGGAGTCCAGGGCGTCCCCATGGCGTCTGCCCCTCCCTTCGGCCGGTGCGGCCCCCGCAGCCTCCCATTTGCGGGGCTGGGGGGCTCTGTGCGGCCGCCTCTGCCTAAGACCCCCTCCCCTGCTCCCTACTGGCGCTCTCTGCTGGCCAATGTCTCACCCTGAAGACCCAGGCTTTGTTCACACGAGGGGGCCTGGAAGGGTTCATAGAAAAATACACGTTAGGTTACAAACTGCACATGGATTTCCGTCTTTGCACCAGGTGAGCTGACCGCTTCACTGCCTTTGCCCGGGGGCGTCGGGGCCCCTGCACCTCTGCCTCCTCCAGCCCGCTGTGACCTCGCCAAGGGCAGCAGGCGGGCTGGGCCCAGCACCTGCCTGGCACGGGGGACAGACCTGCCCCGCCGCCTCATGGGCTAGAGCAGAGCGACTGTGGCGGCCCCTGGGAGCGGCCTCCTCAGGAGAGGTTCGCCAGGCTGGGGGAGGCAGCCTTGTGGGGGCTGCAACCTGAGGCCGCTTGGAGTTGGGGAAGCTGCCTGCTGCTTGTGGCCCAGTGGTCTGGAAAGGCGCAAACTCCAGCCCACTGCACCAGGCCTGGGCTCAGCCCCCCGATTTTGGATGAAGTGTGGGGTCCCAGCAGAGCCAAGGGGTAGCCCTCAGGAGAGAGTGGGGGCTCGCCCAGCCAGGAGAGACCCCACGGCTGGGGCGGGTTTTCCATCAGCTGAGAACCCAGGTCTCGCTGGGCATGCTGGTGGAAGGGGAGCCGGGACCTGTTACCACAGACACGGCAGTGCCCGAGGCCCCCTAGACAAGGTTGCCTGGGGGTTGTCAGGAGACGCAGTGGAAGAACATTCTAGACTCACGCAAAGAAGGGAAACTGGAGCTGATGCCAAGGAGAGCCTGAGGTAAGAAGTGGGAAGGGAAGAAGGGACGCTCGGGGCCAGCTCAGAAGCCGGAAGCCATTCGTCATTTCTGTGGGTTTTCTTCAGGGCCTACTGTGTGCAGGCCCCCAGGGAAACAAGACGAGGGAGGAGGGGACAGGAACAGCCCTGCCCGGAAGTGTGACGAGGCCAGGGAGAGCGCCCTGGGGAACATGCGACAAGAGCGTGCTGCCACAACGCAGTGCCCCCGAGGGTGACGACAAGTCCACCGCAGAAGGGAAATGCAGACACACTCCCCAGGGGCTCGCTACCCAGGAAGTAAAGGGTCCAACAGAACCAGAAAATGAGCCCAAGTGGGAAACTGCCGGAGCAGTGGCCTAGCGGTTAGGACATCCGCACCCCACGTGGGAGTGCCTGGGGTCAAGTCCCGGCTCATCCCAGCAGGTGCCGGGAGACCTGGATTGAGTTCCAGGTTCCTGGCTTCAAGCTGGTGCGGCCCCAGCTTGGAGAGTGAATCAGTAGGTGCCTCACTTGTAAAACCATAATAAAACTGACTAAGACCCATTCTGATATTTAAAATTGTATTTATTTGCAAAGCAGAGGAGACAGATTTTCAAGTACTCGGACCATCTGCTGCTGCTTTCCCAGGGTGCACGTTAGCAGGAAGCTGGATCAGAAGTGGAACCGGGACTTGAACCCAGGCCCTCCCACGTGGCTGGAAGCTCCCCTGGCAGTGTCTTAACGATGGTACCAGATGCCTGCCCCCTCCCTTCTCTGGATTCTGTTATCACCATCTGTCAGCAATGCTGGCTGGCCCATATTGTGGGTAATTGCCGCCTCCCCACAAGGGTAAACACTTCCCATCCCCACCCCCCACGCCTTGGTACGCATCTGAAAATGTTGTTTACGGATGCAAACAAAGTAGCTTGAAAAGTTAAGAATTAAAATTCACAGGAGTGGTCTTCCTGGGGGGGGGGGGTCCACAGTACCCCTCATGTTCCCTGTGACTATTCACCTTGCTTTTTGAATCTTGCCCACCCAGCACATCTGCTTGGGTGAGTGTGCGATATCTCAATGGATCGAATACGGAGGAAGCAACATCGCAAGGAGGTGGGTGCACTGGGAGCCACGCCCTCCGGAATAAAAAGGGCGGGCGTTGTGGCGTGGCAGGTGAAGCCGCCGCTTGCGAGGCTGGCTTCCCGTATCAGTGCCGGTTGGCAGGCAGCTGCTCTGCTTCCAATACAGCGCCCTGCTAACGTTCCTGGAAAGCAGTGGGTGACGGCCCAAGAACTTGGGAGACCGAGATGCAGTTACAGGCTGTTGGCTTCAGCCTGGCCCAGCCTTGGCTGTTGTGGCCGTCTGGGGAGTGAACTAGTTAGTGGATGGAAGATCTGGTGTTCTCTCTGTCACTCTGCCTTTCCAATCAAATCAATCTTTAAAAAAAAAAAAAAAGAAAGAAAGAAATACAAGAGTCCAGGCTGAGGAGCCCAGCTGAGGCTCAGCAGGTGTGGGGCTGAACTAAAGGGAAAGCTGGGAGACTTGGGCCAGGCAGGGGATCCAGTGGTCACGGTCACGGTCACGATCCAGGCAGTGGCTGGTGAGCCTCTGGAGGCCCTTAAAGCTGAAGCTGACCACAAAGATGGGGAGGGCTGTCGCCCCCCTCTTCATGGAGGAGCGACACAGGACCCTGCGCTGTTCTTTTGTCTGCTCGGCCCTCCCCGGGTTTGCTGCTGGTTCTTCCTGGGTTGGCTACTGTCCCTTCCACCTCCGTGGAAGGGCGGTTCCCCCTGCCACTTTCCCCACTTCCGCGGGGGAGCGGCACACCGCCGGCCGGCTCT